GGGAAGATAGCTTGAAGGCGGCCACCCTGCTTTGCGTTTGCGGCCAAGACGCCTTCGAAATCGCAGAAACCTTGCAGCACCTGTCCCAGTAGAGTCTGTAAGCTACGCAGACCTGAAGAAGCTGCTGAAGGAGCACTTCCACCCCAAGGTGTCCGTTATCTCATGGCGCCACACCTTCGAACAGAGGGATCAACGGTCCGGTGAGTCAGCCAAGGAATACATCGCCGCGTTACGGAAGGCCGCCAAGCCCTGCGAGTTCAAGGACCTCGAGGAACGACTGAGTGACCGATTCGTGTGCGGGTTGAGGCATCGAGAGCTACAACAGAGACTTTTCGCTAAGGAAGAATTATCCTTCCAAGACGCTTTAAGGGAAGCCACCGCGGAAGAAGCAGCAGGCGGCGCCGTCAAGAACATGCGTCCGATCAGAAGCAGTGCAGAGGGTGCGTCCGTGCACCAAGAAGACGTCCGACGAAACTCCGAGGAGGATCCGGACGAAGAAGTCGACCGTCTACATCCCGCGAAGGGAGAAAATCAGAAGGAAATCTCTTCAGCTCCGCTCAAGTGCATCGGCTGTGGAGGTCGCCACAGGAGAACCGACTGCAAGTTCCGCTCCGCTCCCTGCCGGGCATGCGGCAAACACGGGCACATTGCAGCTGTGTGTCTGGGCCGACGAAAGGCACAACCTCAAGAAGAACGCCTGAAGGGTACCAGAGTCCCCAGCCAGAATATGGTAGGTTTTTGCGCTTCGCGTAGAAACATTTGTAGGACAGGCACACACAAGCCCATGAAGAAAAAGCTGTCACTCAACGTGAAGCTACAAGGGGTTCCATTATCTATGGAACTAGACACAGGGTCTGCCCTTTCCATCATTTCATTGCATACATTTAGGAAGATTTGTTCCAGTATTGGGACTAAGGCCAAGTTAAGGCCTTCTGATATTGTATTAACTGATTTTCAGAACTCAAGAGTGTGTGTTAAGGGGGAGGCCACCCTTAACGTGCAATACAAGAGTTTTGAAGGTCCACTAGACTTGTTAGTAGTAGGGGGTGAAAGAACGAGTCTCATAGGACTCGATTGGTTTGAGGCCCTGGGGATACACGTCACAGGACTCAACAGCTTACAAACACTCGACCTACAGGAAGTCTGCAAGGAATTTGCAGATGTTTTCAGCCCCCAGCTGGGCACATTCAAAGGACCACCTGTGTCCTTAAAGCTAGACCCCACTGTCACTCCCATTAGGATTAAAGCAAGAAGGGTCCCTTTTGCTTTAAAAAGTAAGATTGACACTGAATTAGACAAACTAATCCAACAAGGAATCCTAGAACCTGTTGATTCCAGCCCGTGGGAGACCCCCATTGTCACGCCTCTAAAGGCAAATGGGGACATTCGCATTTGTGCTGATTACAAATGCACACTCAATAAGGCATTGCAGCAACATGCCTATCCTGTTCCTGTGGTCAGTCACATCCTGGCCTCTCTCAAGGGGGGGCGTGTTTTTGCAAAGCTTGACCTAGCTCAAGCATATCAACAGCTGCCTGTTGATAATGATGCTGCCATAGCTCAGACTATTGTGACCCACAGGGGAGCCTTTAAGGTAAAAAGGCTGCAGTTTGGAGTGAATGTCGCTCCTGGGATTTTCCAAAGCGTAATGGAAAACACACTACGAGGTATACCAGGGGTCTGCCCCTACTTTGACGATGTCTTGATTGCAGGAGACTCCACACACATTCTAGCTGAAAGGCTTAGGGCTGTCCTGTTAAGATTCAGGAAATCAGGCCTCAAGCTCAGAAAAGACAAATGCAAGATTGGGGTGCCTTCTACTGAATTTCTGGGATTCAAAATTGATGCTGCTGGGATTCATCCTGCTGAATCCAAACTAACTGCTATTTTAGAAGCACCCAGGCCAAAGTCTAAGGCCGAACTTCAGGCCTTCTTAGGCCTCCTGAATTTCTACAATTCTTTTCTTCCACATAAAGCTAGTGTAGCTGAGCCTCTTCACAGGCTACTAGACAAACAAGCTGTGTGGCTGTGGTCACAAGCACATGAGGCTTGCTTTAAAGAAGTCAAGGCCTTGCTCACTTCTAACAGTGTTCTTGCACATTTCAACGAGTCTCTCCCTGTGTGCATCGCTTGTGATGCATCCCCCTACGGGGTTGGAGCTGTCCTGAGTCACCTCAGGTCTGATGGAACTCAGGTTCCTATTGCATACTACTCCAGAACATTGTCTTCTGCCGAGCGCAACTACGCTCAGATAGACAGGGAGGCTCTGGCTGTTGTTGCTGGAATTAAAAAATTCCACGATTTTCTATATGGCAGGCATTTCACGGTCTTCACTGACCATAAGCCTCTGCTGGGACTGTTTACCACACGTAAGCAGACTCCCCACATCATTTCCCCTAGAATGCTTAGGTGGTCTATTTTTTTTGTCTGCATATGATTTTTCATTACTCCACAAGCCTGGGAAAGAAATGGGCCATGCTGATGGCCTCAGTAGGTTGCCTCTGCCAGTAGTAGAAGCTGACCCCGCGCCAGCTGTCAACATTCTATCAATCCAAGCCTTGCCCGAGCTTCCTCTTAGTGCCAGGGATGTTACCGCTGAAACAGGTACAGATCACACACTTTCACGTGTCCGCTCCTGGGTCCTGTCCGGGTGGCCTGAGCACTGCCCTAGTCCTGAGTTTCAGAGTTTCTGGTCCAAAAGGAACGAATTGTCCCTTTCTCAGGGTTGTTTGCTTTGGGGAAACAGAGTTGTCATTCCCACCTCAATGAGGACTAGGGTCTTAGAATCCCTCCACGAGGGTCATCCTGGCATTGTTCGCATGAAGGCTCTTGCACGCAGCCACTTGTGGTGGCCTGCTTTAGATAAAGATATTGAGGCTAAGGTACACGCATGCCACATGTGCCAACGATCTCGCCCAGAGATGCCCCAAGCTCCTGTGCATAAATGGGAGGAAACACAGTCCCCATGGTCTAGGGTGCACATTGACTACGCTGGGCCCTTTCAGGGCCAGTTCTTCTTGGTCCTTGTTGACAGCCATTCAAAATGGCTTGAGGTTGTGCCTGTCTCATCCACCACCACTGCAAAGACTATTCAGGTACTGAGGGGGATTTTTGCTGCACACGGGCTGCCAGATGTCATTGTGTCTGACAACGGCCCTCAATTCACCTCCTCCGAATTCCAAGCTTTCTTACAGGCAAACCTGATTCGTCATGCCACATCTGCGCCTTTTCACCCATCCACCAACGGTATGGCTGAACGCATGGTGCGCATCGCAAAGGACGCCTTGAAGAGACTCACCTACGGGGACTGGCATCACAGGTTGGCTGACTTTCTCCTTTCTTATCGCACCACACCGTCCACTTCTACAGGGAGAAGTCCAGCTGAACTTCGTTGGGGGCGCCAACTTACTACGAGACTTGACCGGTTGCATCCGGACAGACTGCCTTCATCTACCTCACATCCTAGGGCACCTAGACAACTACTTGTGGGTGCCCCGGTTTGGGCTCGCAATTACGGGCCTGGTCATACATGGGTCCCCGCTTCTGTGTCCAGGATCACAGGTCCTCTCTCCTACGAGGTTGCCCTGGACAACGGTCGTGTCCTGCGTCGGCACATCGACCAACTCCGCTCTAGGCGGGACTTTTCTGCTGAAACTCCTGGGTCTTTTCCAGGGGGGGAGGGGGACCCTTTGGAGCAAAGGGAAGGGCAAGAGCTACTGCCCATCGCCACTGAGGGAGCCACAAACGGCTCGTCCCAAGGTTCTGCAATTGCTCCGAAAAGGAAGTCTTGGAGCTTACCCACACAACAGGCACTCACGCCTACTCCAGCCAGGGAGTTACCCCGGGGGCATACTCACTGTCCACACACAGCACACAGCACTCCAGCAACGGAGGATACCCGGGGGCATCCCAACAAATCATTCCCCGCAAGAGAGCTGGCACACAATGCCCAAGGTTGGCCTGACCTTACCCCAAATCCTACAGGGGGTCAAACATACACAGAGCTAGTCGAGGAACCAAGTCCCGACTACAACACCCCTAGCACAAATCAGGGGACACCTGAGTTTTGGGAGAGTACAGAAACCCACACAAGCCCAAACACAGAATGGGGTTCAGGGAATAGACAGCCTCCTGACAGGTCTTGGACTGACCTAGGGGGTTCTACAGAGACGCCCAGCAGTGGCTATCACTTCAAGGGGCCTGAGGGTCTACAGCTAGGTAGGACAACCAGGTCACAAAGCAACAGAAGCCCTGGCCTGACGAGCCCGGTGGGCAAGCAAGCAGGCCAGGCATCGGGGCACAGTCCTTGGAAGACACCAGGGCACAGTAGAGAGAACAGGCTCATGCCTCCCTCCAGTCAGGGGACTTATGCCAGTAACCCAGAGCTAAGAAGGTCACAGAGAGCAAAGAAATCTCCTAAGTACCTAGAAGATTACATAACATTGCTGGCAAGGCAAAAGCCAGTAAACAGTGGGAGCACTGGGGAGCAAATTGTCGTATAAAATAAATGTTGTATGTTGGTAGTAGTTTTAGCCCGGGGGAAAGGGGTGTTATGTCCCGAGCCTTGCAAACGGCTCGGGCGTTTGCAGGCAGTCCCGGGCAGGTGCAAAGCTGCCCGGGACCAGACAGGCTGTCGCCAGCGCCGTGCGCATGCGCGGGTGCTGGCGCGGGAAAAGTAACCCATTTACCCGGGAGTTGCCTATATAAGAGGCTGTGAGGCGTTTGGGCTGAGCTGAAGCCATCTTCCTGTAAGCTGAACGCTGAATAAAAGAACCTGAGAACTCCAGCTGCTTCTCGTGTCTGTTTTCCCGCCAAGGACGCAACACCAGTATCTCAGGGGCTGCCCCAAAGAAGAGGGAGTCAAGCTATTCTCCAGAGCACCAGAAGGCAGGATAGGAAGCAATGGATGGAAACTTAAACAAGGAGAGAACCAACCTAGAACTAAGGAGAAACTTTTTGATAGTCACAACAATTAATCAATGGAACAGCTTGCCTCCAGAAGTTGTGTGTGCTCCATCACTGGCAGTTTTTAAGAAGCGACTGGACAGCCATTTGTCTGAAATGGTATAGAGTCTCCTGCTTGAGCAGGGGGTTGGACTAGATGACCTCCAAGGCTCCTTCCAACTCTGTTTATTCTGTATTCTTCCACCCCTGACGGAGAAAGTCCTCAGCACCACAATGAGCCTTTTCCTGAACGGACTATGCTTGGCTGAGTTTGCAGATGTCAGGGTAATTTAAATCCTTCATCCTGCAAATTCCTGCATTTTTAAAAGATCTGAAATTTGGTTTCGGAAGGCACCATCCAGGTCTTTGGCTGGAAGGGATGGGCAATAATCGACATAATAGATAGCAGAGCTTTTTTCTCTTCCTGGAGCGTATCTCATACAGCATTGCCAAGTTTTAAGACAGGGGTCTTCAAACCTGGCCCTTTGATGACTGGTGGACTTCAACTCCCAGAATTCCTCAGCCAGGCACGTGTGCCTGGCTGAGGAATTCTGGGAGTTGAAGTCCACCAGTCATCAAAGGGCCAAGTTCGAAGACCCCTGTCTTAAATCTAACAAACAAAATGGAGCCTGGCTGAGGAATTCTGGGAGTTCAAGTCCACCAGTCATCAAAGGGCCAAGTTTGAAGACCGCTGTCTTAAATCTAGCAAACAAAATGGAGCCTGGCTGAGGAATTCTGGGAGTTGAAGTCCACCAGTCATCAAAGGGCCAAGTTGGAAGACCCCTGTCTTAAATCTAACAAACAAAATGGAGCCTGGCTGAGGAATTCTGGGAGTTGAAGTCCACCGATCATCAAAGGGCCAAGTTCGAAGACCCCTGTCTTAAATCTAACAAACAAAATGGAGACTGGCTGAGGAATTCTGGGAGTCGAAGTCTACCAGTCATCAAAAGGCCAAGTTTGCAGACCCCTGGTTTATACATTTGGCTTAAAAGTTGATTTAACCAATTGCAAGAATCCCACGTTGCAATTTGGGAGATTGGGCAGCAGGTGGCAGTGTTGCTTATTGTATAATTAGAACCTCGAAAACTAGAGTAATATTGTTATAGATCCGTGGTGGTGAACCTATGGCACGGGTGCCAGAGGCAGCACTCAGAGCCCTCTCTGTGGGCACGCGCGCCGTGGCCCCAGTCCCCTGCCTTCAGCTGGGTTTTATAAAACCTTTTCGCTTTAGGCCTCCGCCGCCGTGTGCAAAAAAAAAAAAAGGTTCAATCAATCAGTCAATTTCAACTTCTCGTGGGAAAAAAAAGATCTTGCAAAGTTGGAATTGATTGATTGAACTTTTTAGTCCCACCCAGTCTGCTGTTACCACCGCAGCCACACCCAGCCAACGGGCCACACCCAGCCAATGGGCCACACCCATCCAATGCACCACGCCCATCCAATGAGCCACACCCACCCAATGGGCCACACCCACCCGGCACCCGACGATGCATAAGTGGGTTTTGGGTTGCAGTTTGGGCCCTCGGTGTCTAAAAGGTTCGCCATCACTGTTATAGAAGGATAGAGAACTATAATTACTATAATAATTAGAATAAGAATAGAAAATGGTAAGAGAACACCTATCCGACCTTGACAAATATAAATCACCGGGACCCGACAGATTACATCCCAGAGTTCTGAAGGAGCTGGCAGATGTTATCTCAAAACCACTGGACCACATTTTGCATAAATCCTGGAGCACCGAGGAAGTACTGGAGGATTGGAAAAAGACGGATGTGGTCCCCATCTTCAAGAAAGGAAAAAAACCAACAACAATAACAGATCCCTTTATTTGCAGACAAATAAATACCAGGGTGGTTTATGAGAAGTCAAAATGCCAACATGCAGCTAAAGCAGTGGTTCTCAACCTTTTTAATGCCGCGACCCCCAACCGGTTGTAAGTCGAGGACTACTCAACTGGTGGTGCAGCACCGTTTGCAGAATGGGACTTTTGGTGGGCTCAGCAGGGCAGAGACAGCCTGGACAATTCCTATTGGCTTTTGAAAGCCCATAGAATTAGACTCTATTCAAGAGAGTCCATTCTATTGGCTTTCAAAAGCCAATAGAATAAAAGGGAGTAGCACAGCTAAGGAAAAGGGGGGAAAATGGCGGACTGCGTTGTTTGGCGACCCCCGTGAAATGGTCGTTCGACCCCCAATGGGGTCCCGACCCACAGGTTGAGAACCGTTGAGCTAAAGGGATAAGCTAAACCCAGATTTCTTTCTGTTTTGGCCCAGGTCAGCTTTGATCGTTCTCAGGAAGGGGATCCTGTGCTTTGACTACTCTCCAGAAATGAATATTGTGGGTAGGTGTTCCTCAGTCCCTCATTTGAAAGAGCTTTGCTGATCGGATGCCTTCCCTGATGGATGCATTTTGGGGCCATTTAGAATAAATAATCCCCTAAAGACGATTAGGGGTCTGGAGGCTGAAACATACGAAGAACGGTTGCTGGAATTGGGTCTGTCTAGTTTAACAAAGAGAAGGACGAGGGGGGACATGATAGGAATCTTCCAGTATCTCAGGGGCTGCCCCAAAGAAGAGGAAGTCAAGCTATTCTCCAAAGCACCTCCAAAGGCAGGACAAGAAGCAATGGGTGGAAATTCATCAAGGAGAGAAGCAACCTGGAACTAAGAAGAAACTTCCTGACAGTGAGAACAATTAACCAGTGGAACAACCTGCCTCCAGAAGTTGTGAGGTTTCTAAGAAGAGGCTCGACAGAGCTCCTTCGTAGCTCAGCACAGCAGAAGAACAGAAGTTTTAAACCATTATTTTTTCTGTCCTCTCCCAACAGTGACGGGGGGCTACGATCCCCTGATCCGAATCTGGAACCCGTACGTCACCAACAGTCCCATCACTCAGCTGAAGGGCCACTTGACAGCTGTCACTCACATCATGATCAACAGGCAGAAGAAAACCATCGTGAGCATCTCAAAGGACAAGGTGAGGCAGGCAAGGTGTTATAGGCAGTCCTCGGCTTACGACCACAATTAGGCGATGCTCCTTGTCGCTTTTTCTGCCTCAAAGAGCTAAATTCAAATCTGGGGGGGCTTCTCTGCAAAAAGTCCTCGGCTTACGGCCACAGTGGAGCTCAGAATACTGCTACTAAGCGAGTTAGGTGTATTTTGCCCCATTTTATGACAATCTTTCCTGCCACCGTTGCAGGAACAACTGCAGTTGTTCAGTTCGTCACACGGTTGTTAAGTGAAACCGGCTTCCCCATTGGCTTTGCTTGTCAGAAGGTTGCAAAACGGGATCACGTGACCCCCCCCCCACGGTGACACTGCAACAGTCATAAGTACATGCCAGTTGCCGAGCATCTGAATTTTGATCACGAGATGATGAAGATGCTGCAATGGTTAGATGGTCCTAAGTTACTTTTTCTGGTGCCGTTGTAACTTTGAACGGTCACTAAATCAACGGTCGTAAGTCGAGGACTCCCTGTGCCGGATTCTCGGCTGGCTGCTCCCGGGTGTGATCCTGGCTTGATCCCCACCGTGTGCCGTGGAACCGCCAGGGATCTGTCCTTCTAGCTCTTGGCTTCTCTTCTGACCCCTGCAGAATATTCGGGTCTGGGATCTACTGGATCACTTCTGCCTGCAGTCGATCCATGGCCGGAACGTCCCGCTGGGCAACTGCCCCATCTCCTCCGTCTACTACCACCAGCATCAGAATATCTTGATCTGCGCCACTTACAAGGTGGGGGCTGGATGGGAGGAGGTCAGCTTGTCTGCCTGAGTTGAGAAAGGAAACGAGAGCCTCGTTAAGGGAGATCAGGAGGAACACGGAGAGCCCACCCCCCTCTCCCCTCCAGCACTGATGGCGTTGGCTAGTTGGGTCATGAAAGGTCTGCAAGGAAACCAACCAGCTCAGAGGCCACCAAGGACCCCACAGCCTTCCTCTTCTTCCTACCTCCTCTTCCTCCTCCTCCTCCTTCTCTTCACAAACCCCTCCCTTCTAGCACTGATGATGTTCCCTAGTTGGGCCATGAAAGGTCTGCAAGAAAACCACCCAGAGAGCACCCGGGACTCCACAATCTTCTTCTTCTTCTTCTTCTTCTTCTTCTTCTTCTTCTTCTTCTTCTTCTTCTTCTTCTTCTTCTTCTTCTTCTTCTTCTTCTTCTTCTTCTTCTTCTTCTTCTTCTTCTTCTTCTTCTTCTTCTTCTTCTTCTTCTTCTTCTTCTTCTTCTTCTTTTCTCCTCCTCCTCCTCCTCCTCCTCCTCCTCCTCCCCCCATTCTATCACTGATGTTGTACCCTGGTTGGGTCATGAAACGTCTGCAAGAAAACCATCAAGCTCAGAGAGCACCAAGGACCCGACAGTCCTCCTCCATTCTGCAAACCCCTCCCTTCTACACTGATGATGTTACCTAGTTGGATCATGAAATGTCTGCAAGAAAACTTCAAAGCTGAGAGAGCACCAAGGACCCCATAGTCCTTACATCCTCCTCCTCCTCCTCCTCCTCCTCCTCCTCCTCCTCCTCCTCCTCCTCCTCCTCCTCCTCCTCCTCCTCCTCCTCCATCATTCTGCAAACCCCTCCTTTCTAGCATTGATGATGTTACCTAGTTGGATCATGAAATGTCTTCAAGAAAACCACCAAGCTCATAGAGCATCAAGGACCCCAGCTGTCGTTGTCGTCGTTGTCCTCCTCCTCCTCCTCCTCCTCTCTGCAAACCCCTCCCTTCTAGCACTGATCATGTTACCTTGTTTGGATCATGAAATATCTGCAAGAAAACAAGCAAGCTCAGAGAGCACCAAGGATGCCTCTTCTTCCTCCTCCTCCTCCTCCTCCTCCTCCTCCTTCTCCACTCTGCAAACTCCTCTCCCTTCTAGCACTGATGATGTTCCCTAGTTGGGTCGTGAAACGTCTGCAAGAAAACCACCCAGCTCAGAGAGCACAAAGGACCCCACAGTTCATCTCTGAGCTATAGATATTCTCTTCTATCAGTCCCGAGCTGGATGGGAGTGTTTGTGTGTGTGTGTGTGTGGGGGGGGTAGCCACACTCTTTAATCTCTCAGGATATATCTAGTAGGCTAGAAGGTGATAGCTTTGATCTATCAAGATTCTGCCCATCAGGTGCAGACTAATAAAGAATTGGACTCAGAATCACAGGGTTGGACGGGGCCTTAGAGGTCTTCTAGTCCAGCCCCCTGACAGGATTGGGTCTTGCCGCCTTGTCTTTGGCCTTCAGCCTGACACCGGGTCCCATTTTACTGCAGATTGGGTTATTCTTTGGTGCTGAATTCACCGAGGTGGAACTCAAGACACAAGAGCCTCTGCTGTGTTGTGCACTTTACAACAAGATCTTCAAACAGGTGACAAAGTGTGGTGGAGATGTTGAACTGAAAGTGACCGTTTAAGGGGAGCAAAGATGTCCTTCTGCAAACCCCCCCCCATTTCTGACCCCTCCTAAAAAGATAACGTGCCTGATAGCAGAGTTCCAATATTTGAGGGGCTGTCCGCCATTTTGTAAGTCACCTCAGACAGCTGCGTCTTCAATATGAAGTCTGTTAATCTGGAGTCGCATTACCTGTCGCCCTTCAGAAGAGAATAACGGAATTGGAAGGGACCTGGGAGGTGGTCTAGCCCAACCCCAACCTATCCAGGACCAGTGGAACCAGCTGACTCTGGGAAATTTCCCTCCCGCAGGCGGTCAGCGGCTATTACAGTGGGATGGTCAGTGTTTGGGATGTCATGACTGGACAGAAGATTATGGAGTTCACCACCACCTCGGACCAGGCCTTGGAGATGACTGCCATGATCTTCGACCCGCCCGAACGGCGACTCATCACGGCCCTGAAAAACGGCTTGATCAAACTGTGGAACTTCAACAACGGGGCTTGCCTGATGGAGATCCCCTTTGAGGAGAAGACTGAGGTGGGTGGAAGGCACGGAGGCTGGTGTTCTATCCCAGCCTGTGTGAGTCCTTGTTAACTCACAAGGACCAACCCTTCTTTGGAAATGCAGGAAAAACAAACCCCTTTTATTAATTAGGTACAGCCCTGCAAAATGTCCCCAAAGCAAAGGCAAACAAAACACGATGCAAACGGAGAATTGTCCCGAGGCAAACAGAACACGATGCAAATGGACAATTGTTCACAAGCAAGGCAAACCGACCAGGATTCCATGAAACTTGAGTCTTTTGCAATCGGTTGCCTTCAGCAACCAGCACTGCCCACACCTTCCCTTTTTCTTACACAGCCCCCAAGGCGTGGCTTCTGAATGCCTTCTCCTCCTCCTCCCTTGGAGTCGCCCCATGGCCTCCCTCTGTCCTGCTCTGGTTGCCTATCTGGGTTTGCGAGCGTCCATGGTGTCTTCCAGCTGTGAGTCCTCAGAGTCTGACTCAGCTTCCCCGCACGGCTGGGTCTCAGCCTGAGCACGAGTGGAGGGGCCAGGCTCTTCACCAGATTGTAAGTCCTGGAGCTCATCAGAGCCTTCCTCCGACTCTGATGGCTCGCCAGGCCCCACCTCTTCCTCCTCCTCATCTGATTCCCCGGACTCAGTTGCCAGGTCCACTGGCTGGCGTGGACTCACAATAGCTGGCCTAACCCGATTTGATCAGTTTGATCCCGGTTTCTCCTGCTGCAAAGAGAAATAGAAATTGCGTCGTTCAACATCCTCCTTCAATGCAGTTTACTCTCCGGATGTGATGGGTTTACAACTCCCAGCATCCCCAGACCAGGCTCTCTGGTAACCAGGCGAACTGTTTCCACACCCTCCAAACCTGGAGAAATTGAGAAAAATTCATCGGTCGTAAGTTGAGGACTAGCCTTTATTGAGGACTCGTTCTTGATTGCATCTCTTCTTCCAGGCTTACCTTACAAACTTCTCAAGCGCCACAAACTCACCCTGCAGGCCGTCCTCGACTTACGACTGTTCACTTAGTGACTGTTCGGAGATACACGTGTGTCCTTAACCACTCTGCTCCTCAGGCCACCAACCACAGATATTTCTCTAAGGCTTCTCTTAATAAAAGGTTTTTTTATTGATCCGATCTGTCTGCCGTAACCGTGTGAAGGGAGTCCTGGACTTACCACCACAGCTGAGCCCCAAATTCCCACTGCTAAACAAGGCAGTTACGTGAATTTCCCTCTGTTTTACGACCTTCCTTGCCTCAGTTGTTAAGTGACTCACTGCAGTTGTTAAGTTAGTCACACAGTTGTTAAGTGTATCTGGCTTCCTGTTGTGATTCCTCGCCAGTCAGTGGACCCGGCAGCTGAGGAATCACAGGAGGAGGAAGAGGGGACTGGCGTGACATCAGAGTCGGAGGAGGGCTCTGAGGAGCTCCAAGACTTACAGTCGGACGAGGAGCCTGGCCCCTCTATTCGCGCTCAGGCTGAGACACAGCTGTGCCGGGAGCCTGAGTTGGACAGTGATGAAGAACCGCTGGGGCAAATCCCGGATGCACGAAAGCACAGGCAAGAGAAGCGAGTAGGATGGAGGGATGCAATGGAGCACCTCCAAAGGCAAAGGAGAAGGCATTAGGAAGCCACGCCTGGGCTGCATCATAAAAGGGAAGGTGTGGGAGGGGCTGGTGGCCGAAGGCAGCCGTTTGTGTTGAGGAATCGAGTTTGTGTGAACTGTGTTTGCCTTGGACATTGACTCAGGTCTGTGAATAATAAAAGGGGATTGGTTTTTTCCTGCGGTTCCAGCCTGCTTCTTGTGAGCTTAACAAGGACTCACGTAGGCTGGGACAGAACACTTCCCCCATTGACTTTGCTTGTCCGAAGGTCGCAAAAGGGGATCACGTGACCCCGGGACTTGGTGGCCGTCATAAATATGAAGCCACCTCTATGTATCTGAATTTTGATCACGTGACCCTGGGGATGGGGCAACAGTTGTACTTGTGAAAAATGGTTATACGTCACTTTTTTTTCCAGTGCCGTTGTAAATGCTGAACAGTCACTAAACGAACGGTCGTAAGTCAAGGACTGCCTGCACAGAGTTATATTTTTGTCAGTATCTTTTAGGACGATGAAAGGCCTGGCGGCTAAAATATATGAAGAACGGCTGCAGGATTTGGGAATGGCTAGTCTAGAGAAAAAGAAGGAACTGGGGGGGGGGGGAACATGATAGCAATATTCCAGAATTTGAAGGGCTGCCCCAAAGAAGAGGGAGGTGGGGTCCACCTCTTCCCCCAAAGCACCTGAAGGCAGGACGAGAAACAACGGTTGGAAACTCATCAAGGAGAGAAGCAACGTGGAATGAAGGAGAAACTTCCTGACAGTGAGGACAATTAACCAGTGGAACAGCTGGCCACCAGAAGTTGTGGGTGCTTCATTACTGGAGGTTTTTGAGAAGAGACTGGACAGCCACTTATTTATTTATTTATGAGACTTATATACCGCTTTAAGTGCAAGCACTCTCTAAGCGGTGTACACCAGTAAGCAATGTATATATATATATTTACATTGCCCCCAACAATCTGGGTCCTCGTTTTACCTACCCTGGAAGGATGAAAGGCTGAGTCAACCTTGAGCCGGTGAGATTTGAACCGCTGACCTGCTGAACACAGTCAGCTAAAGTGGCCTGCAGTACTGCCCTCTAACTGCTGCGCCACCTCGGCTCATGACTCGTGGACTTCAACTCCCAAAATCCCTGAGCCAGCATGGGGGAACTATGCCCCCCTCATGACTCATGGACTTCAACTCCCAGAATCCCTGAGCCAGCATGGGGGAACTATGCCCCCCTCATGACTCATGGACTTCAACTCCCAGAATTCCTGAGCCAGCATGGGGGAACTATGGCCCCTCATGACTGGTGGACTTCAACTCCCAGAATTCCTCAGCCAGCATGGGGGAACTATGGCCCCCTCATGATTGGTGGACTTCAACTCCCAGAATTCCTGAGCCAGCATGAGGGAACTATGGCCCCCTCATGACTGGTGGACTTCAACTCCCAGAATTCCTCAGCCAGCATGGGGGAACTATGGCCCCCTCGTGACTCGTGGACTTCAACTCCCAGAATTCCTGAGCCAGCATGGGGGAACTATGGCCCCCTCATTTATTTTATTTATTTATTTATGAGACTTATATACCGCTTTAAGTGCGAGCACTCTCTAAGCGGTGTACACCAGTAAGCAATGTGTGTATGTGTGTGTTTGTGTGTGTGTGTGTGTGTGTATGTATGTATGTGTGTGTGTGTGTGTGTGTGTGTGTGTGTGTGTGTTTGTATATATATATATATATATATATATATATATATATATATATATATATATATATATATATATATTTACATTGCCCCCAAGAATCTGGGTCCTCATTTTACCTACCCCGGAAGGATGGAAGGCCGAGTCAACCTTGAGCCGGTGAGATTTGAACCGCTGACCTGCTGAACACAATCAGCTTGTTTGAAATGGTGTAAGGTCTCCTGCCTGAGCAGGGGGTTGGACTAGAGGACCTCCGAGATCCCTTCCAGCTCTATTCCGATGGTCCACGTATATACTGTAGCTTCCTCCCTCCCTTTCTCTCCTTCCAACAGACCAACTGCATCTTCTACATGAACCATAGGATTTTTATCACCGATTGGACCAAGCGAGTGACATGGTACCGGTAAGTCAAAGCCAACTCCGGTGAACTTTTTGGTTCCAGATGGGGAGGGAAGCAACGGTGAGGAGGAGGAGGAGGAGAAGAAGAAAGATTGGATTGGGGGGTGATACGGCTTCTGCTTTCCACCCAGACCCCTCCTGAGGTCAAATAATCCAGGAACAGCGTGGGAAGAAGTCATCCAGCTGGGGCCACCCAACAAAGCAGAAGTTGCTTGAAGTGGATTTCATGCTTCCTGGGAAGAACGGAGGGGGCCCTGTGTTCTCTGAACCCTGGAGCCGATTTTCCCTGAACCAGAACAAGAGAATATTGAAAACTCAGAGTTTAATTTGATGTACTCTGAGCTGGGTAGCATCATCAGTGCTAGAAGGGAGTGGGGTTTGCAGAGAGGAGGAGAAAGGGGGGGGGAGGAGGAGGAGGAGGAGGAGAAGGAGGAAAAAGGAGAAAGAGGAGGAGGTGGTGGAAGGCTGTGGGGTCCTTGGTGCTCTCTGAGCTTGGTAGTTTTCTTGCAGACATTTCATGACCCAACTAGGGAACATCATCAGTGCTAGAAGGGAGGAGGAGGAGAGTTGCGTGTTCTTTGGTGCTCTCTGAGCTTCACTCTTTTCTTGTAGACATTTCATGAGCCAACTAGGTAACATCATCAGTGCTAGAAGGGAGGAGGAGGAGGAGGAGGAGGACTGACGGCTATGGAATCCTTGGTGCTTTCTAAGCATGGTTGTTTTCTTGCAGATGTTTCATGACCCAACTAGGGAACATCATCAGTGCTAGAAGGGAGTGGTTTGTGGAGAGGAGATGGAGGAGGAGGAGAAGGAGGAGGAGGAGGAGGAGAGGAGGAGATAGGAAGAAAGGGAGGGCTGTGGGATCCTTGGTGCTCTCTGAGCTGGATTTGGAGGGATGAGGATGAGGACGAGGACGATGAGGATGACTATGGAATCCTTGGTGCTCTCTGAGCTTGGTTTTTTTCTTGCAGACATTTCATGACCCAACTAGGGAACGTCATCAGTGCTGGAAGGGAGGAGGAGGAGGAATAATTTTGGGTCCTTGGTGCTCTCTGAGCTTGGCGGTTTTCATGCAGACATTTCATGACCCAACTAGGTAGCATCATCCGTGCTCGAAGGGAGGAGAGTTTGGAGGGAGGAGGAGAAGGAGGAGGACTATGGAACCCTTGGTGCTCTCTGAGCTTGGTTATGTTCTTGCAGACATTTCGTGACCCAACTGGGTAACATCAGCTGCGCTAGAAGTGAGTGGAGTTTGTGGAAAGGAGGAGGAGGAGGATTGTGGGGAGGGTGGAAACCGTGAGGAGGAGAAGAAAGGTTGAGTTGGGTGTATCTTTTGTCTTGAGGTGAGGAGGAGAAATGCATGGTCTTTCCTTCGTGTTCCCCAGCTGAGTGGGGATGAGGCTGTTCTGTCTTTCTCGGCAGGGACTCCAAAGATGAGAACAACATCATTGAGTGCAAGCACTGGAAGTCCTACCACGCAGAGGACATCCTCTCCATGGACGGCTATGCCAACAGGCTTCTGGTCACCTGCTCCAGCAACGGAGACATTGTCCTCTGGTACGTCAACTCTGGCCAAGCCTTCTGCCGGTTCAACGCATCGGAGAGTCCTCTGGCGCTCGTCCCCAAACGGGTAGGTGCGGAGAGCTTCCACGGCAGGGGTCCTTTGGCCCCTGCCCAAACGGTGGGCTTCCTTGACTGCTGCACCAAGTTGCCTCTTCTTCCAGAACAGAGGAGAAGCCCACAGGACAGAATGTTTTTGGCTTGGGGTTGAACTGTTGGGGTCCTTGGTGCTCTCTGAGCTTGGTGCTTTCCTTGCAGACGTTCCAAGACCCAAGTAGGCAACATCATCAGTACTGGAAGGGAGGAGGAGGAGGAGGAGGAGGAGGAGGAGGAGGAGGAGGAGGAGGAGGAGAAGGAAGACTGGGGTACCTAATGTTCTTTGATCTTGATCTTTGACCCCTGCTCAAAGGCATTCAGTTTACCCCACTGGTTTTCAAAGTTGGCCCCTTGAAGAGGTGTGGACTTCAACTCCCAGAATTCCCCAGCCAGCCATGCAGACCAAGGGCTCTGGGATTTTTTGGGGGTGGTGGTGGAAATAAATGGATTCAGGGGAACCGGTCCTGGCCTTGCTTGGAGATAATAATAATAGTAATAATAATAATAATAATAAAGTTGGAAGGGACCTTGGAGGTCATCTAATCCAACCCCCTGCTCAGGCAGGAAACCCTATACCATTTTGGACAAATGGCTGTCCGATTTCTTCTTAAAAACCTCCAGTGTTGGAGCATTCACAGCTTCTGGAGGCAGGTTGTTCCACTGGTTAATTGTTCTCACTGTCAGGAAGTTTCTCCTTAGTTCCAGGTTGCTTCTCTCCTTGATGAATTTCCATCCGTTGTTTCTTATCCTGCCTTCAGGTGCCTTGGAGAATAGCTTAATTCCCTCTTCTTTATGGCAGCCCCTGAGATATTGGAATACTGCTATCATGTCCCCTCTTGTCCTTCTCTTCGTTAAACTAGACATCCCCAATTCCAGCAACCGTTCCTTATATGTTTTAGCCTCCAGTCCCCTGATCATCTTTGTTGCCCTTCTCTGCACTCTTTCTAAACCAGTATCCTTTCTCAACTAGGAGTTCGCCATGAGTGCAGAGCCTCCTCTGCAGAGTGGGGAGGTCAAGAAGGTGAAGACCCACCAGAGTGAGGGTGAGAACAAGTACTGGGCCTACCCAAGGAGGCAGAGTACCTCAAAGGCTGCCCTCCCCATGCGACCCACCAGCGCCAAAACTCTTGCCTCACCTTCTGGTCCCATCAAGCGTCCGTCTTCAGCTGTGTTTGGAAGCCAGACCACAAAGCCCCAGGTATGGGCGGTCCAGGAAGACCCCTGGAGATGAAGAATGTGGGCTTGACCTGCTTGGGCTGCTTGCTGATGCTCAAAGCATGGGACCCATGGAGAGCACTTGTGGTGGCTCCTGGAATTGTCTTCAGCATTATTTCACCTCGGCCCCGTTGTGGGTGGTTTTATGGTTTCTCCTTCCTGGAAGGCGGACCTGGATCTTCTCCCACAGTTTGGGCGCCTGAGATATATTGAGTGATTAACCCTACAGAAGACACAGAGAAAGCTTTACGCTCTTCTCTTCGGCCTAAATGGGACAGGGATTCTTTTTCCAAACACAATCCTTACAGACTAGACTAGACTAGACAAGACAATAGAATAGATCAAAACAGAACAGAACAGAATAGAACAAAACGGAACAGAATAAATTACAGAACAGAATAGAATCAAATAGAATAGAAAACAGAACAATAGATTACAAAATAGAATATAATGCAGAATAGAATAGATTACAGAATAGAGTAGAATAGAATAGAATAATGAATAGAATAGAATAGAATAGAATATAACAGAATTTAGAATAGAATAGAATAGAACAGAAGAGAATTTAGAATAGAATAGAATAGAATCAAATAGAATAGAATAGAATAGAATAGAATAACATTAGAATAGAATAGAATAGAATTGCAGAATTTAGAATAGAATAGAACAGAACAGAACAGAATTTAGAATAGAATAGAATCAAATAGAATAGAATAAAATAGAATCAAATAGAATAGAATCAAATAGAATAGAATAGAATAGAATCAAATAGAATAGAACAGAATAACATTAGAATAGAATAGAATAGAATAGCAGAATTTGGAATAGAATAGAATAGAATAGAATAGAATAACATTAGAATAGAATAGAATAGAATCAAATAGAATAGAATAGAATAGAATAGAATAGCAGAATTTAGAATAGAATAGAATAACATTAGAATAGAATAGAATAGAATAGAATCAAATAGAATAGAATAGAATATGGAACAGAATAGAATATAGAATAGAATAGAATAAAACAGAATATACAGTAGAATAGAATAGAATAGAATAGAACAGAATTTAGAATAGAATAGAATAGAATACAGAACAGAATAAATTACAAAATAGACTACAACTGCTAATCACCAAGCAGGTTGCAGAGGGCAGTTTAAATCATGGTTTCTTGAATCCATCGAGTAGATGTGGAGGCCGAGGAAAGCAAGAGATGGCCTTTGAAGAAGGGAGGTGAAGGGTATGACGCTGGGTGTGACTTTGGGTCCTCACCAAGGCCACTGGACTTTCTTGATTTTTTTTTCCCCTTGAAGACGTTTCGCTTCTCACCCAAGAAGCTTCTTCCCTTCTGACTGAACGACGGAGGACGGAAGGATTTATATCCTTTGCAGTCGTCTGCTTGTTAGTACTCCCTCTGAGAGTCCTTGAGGCCACTTGTTGGGGTTTACTCTGTATCCTGTATCCACGTGGCCTCAACGATTCTCAGAGAGAGTACCAACGGCCAGAGGACTGCAAAGGATATAAATCCTTCCCTTCCCCACCAGTCAGTCAGAACTGGATGAGGAGCAGAACGTCCGGTTGCCTTTTGGAAAAAGCACCTTCGAGACCACCATGACCTGGAGGACTGAGGAGCTCCACCAACCTTGGATCTTGTGTCTTGACAGACAGCTTGGAGCTCCAAGAACATCATGAAGGGTAATAACCTTCTCCGTTCCCTGGGCATGTTGGAGAGCGCCCTGCTGAGAAAGGAGAGCCTGTCGTGGCAAGAAGAGATCCAGGCCACCCAAAGATCAGGGGAGAAGGTCAGTGGGGATGTCCACCAAGAGTTTGGAAGCCTACGGATGGATGGGTGAGCCCTAAACCACGTCAAGGTTCTTAGCCTGGTGTGCTTCCCGCTAAAATAGGATCTCAGCAGGACAGGTAGATTAATATCTCTTTATTGATGCTTAAGTAAGAAGATAGATCTCCCACAGGTACAAGGTGAGAAGATCCTTAGAAAGGGGAGCAATGGCTTTATATAGAGTTCAGTTGGGTTTGGGACCTGGAACTAAGGAGAAGCTTCCTGACGGTGAGGACAATTAACCAGTGGAACAGCTTGCCACCAGAAATTGTGGGCGCTCCATCACTGGAGGTTTTTAAGAAGAGACTGGACAGCCACTTGTCTGAAATGGTATAGGGTCTCCTGATTAAGCAGGGGGTTAGACTAGAAGATCTCCAAGGTCCCTTCTATTCTATTCTATTCTGTTCTGTTCTATTCCTATTTCCATATTGTATTGTATTGTATTGTATTGTATTCTATTGTATTGTATTCTATTGTATTCTATTCTATTCTATTCTATTCCCATATTCTATTCTATTCCTATTCCTATATTCTATTCTATTCTGTTCTGTTCTGTTCTATTCCTATTCCCATATTCTATTCTATTCTATTCTGTTCTGTTCTGTTCTGTTCTGTTCTGTTCTATTCTATTCTATTCTATTCTATTCTATTCTATTCTATTCCCATATTCTATTCTATTCCTATTCCTATATTCTATTCTATTCTGTTCTGTTCTGTTCTATTCCTATTCCCATATTCTATTCTATTCTGTTCTGTTCTGTTCTGTTCTGTTCTATTCTATTCTATTCTACAACCTGTCTCTTCTCTTCTCTTCTCTTCTCTTCTCTTCTCTTCTCTTCTCTTCTCTTCTCTTCTCTTCTCTTCTCTTCTCTTCTCTTCTCTCCTCTCCTCTCCTCTCCTCTCCTCTCCTCTCCTCTCCTCTCCTCTCCTCTCCTCTCCTCTCCCCTCTTCTCCAAGGACCCCACAGTCCACGTCTTGAAAAAAAGAGCCAGTTTTGTACAGACAGTCCTCCATTTACAACAGTTCATTTAGTGGCCATTCCAAGTCACAAAGGCACTGAAAAAAAAGTGATCCAGGACCGTGTTTCACACTTACGACCGTTGCAGCATCCCCGAGGTCACGTGATCAGAATTTGGACACTGGGCAACTGATTCATCTTCATGACAGTCGCAGCTTTCCGGGGTGCCATGATTCCCTTGCCGTGATTCGCTTACCGACTTTGGCAAGAAAAGTCGTAAGACGGAGCAAAAGGACGGCGTGTTTTTATAATAGCCATTTTGGAAGCTCGGCCTCTCGCAAAGCTACCGCAGCACGTTTCCTCCGTAGCTTATAATTTTCCTTTCATTCTTTTGCAAAAGCTCTCCGGGAAAAAAAAATAAGATTAGTGGCGTCGCCTCTTTTGCTTCTCCGCCGAAGCATCACAGTGAAAATATATATATCATTCTTAACCACCACGTTGCAAATAACTGGAGTCTTTCTGCCTATTTTTTTTTTCTTCACACAGCGAATCTATTATCGAAAAAGGCAGCTCATAATATTGCTCCTGGACTAGAGTTTTTCTCTCACAAAATGTTGTGGGTTTTTTGGGGTTTTTTTTGGGGGGGGAGAGACATTTTGTCAAAAGGAATCTATTCTCCTATCCACGGGGTAATTGCCACCTAACATGGCTTTTACGGAAAGCTGAGTTGTGTGACCTACAATTTTACTGGCCTCATTTATCCATCAGTGGCTCATCTGAGCTTGACAGAAGAATCTGTAACTGTAGTTTTTTTTGCTCAAAGCTGAATTGGCTATAAACACGGGTAATAGAAGGAAAATAAGGGGAGATAAATGGAAATGCAGAGAGTCAGGGAGTCTGGCTGGAGGGCCTTTGAGGGGTGTTCCACTTAATAACTGAGGCACGAAAGGCTGTAAAATGGGGAGGGGGGAATCACTTAACCACTACCTTGCTTATGGACAAAAAGTTTGGTTTTGTAAGTAGAGGACTTACCTGTATCTGCAGCTCAGGGTTGAATTGCAGGGTACCTGGTGCTCTTTGAGCTGGGTGGTGCTTTTTTTTTTGCAGATGTTTCATAACCCAAATAGGGAACATCATCAAAGCTAGAAGGGAGTGAGGTTTATGGAGGGAGGGAGGGAGGCAGGGAGGGGGGAGGGAAGGGAGGGAGGGAGGAGGAGGAGGAGGAGAGAGGGAAGACTGTGGAGCACCTGGTGCTCTTTGAGCTTGGTTGCTTTCTTGAAGATGTTTCATGACCCAACTAGGAAACATCATCAATGCCAGAAGAGAGTGAGGTTTGTGGAGGGAGGGAGGGAAGGAAGGAAGGAAGGAAGGAAGGAAGGAAGGAAGGAAGGAAGGAAGGAAGGAGGGAGGGAGGGAGGGAGGGAGGAGGAGGAGGAGGAGAAGGAGGAAGACTGTGGAGTACCTGGTGCTCTTTGAGCTTGGTTGCTTTCTTGAAGATGTTTCATGACCCAACTAGGAAACATCATCAATGCCAGAAGAGAGTCAGGTTTGTGGAGGGAAGGAAGGAAGGAGGGAAGGAAGGAAGGAAGGAGGGAAGAAAGGAAGGAGGGAGGGAGGGAGGGAGGAGGAGGAGGAGGAGAAGGAGGAAGACTGTGGAGTACCTGGTGCTCTTTGAGCTTGGTTGCTTTCTTGAAGATGTTTCATGACCCATCTAGGAAGCATCATCAATGCCAGAAGAGAGTGAGGTTTGTGGAGGGAGGGAAGGAAGGAAGGAAGGAAGGAAGGAAGGAAGGAAGGAAGGAAGGAAGGAAGGAAGGAAGGAAGGAGGGAGGGAGGGAGGGAGGAGAAGAAGAAGGAGGAAGACTGTGGAGTACCTGGTGCTCTTTGAGCTTGGTTGCTTTCTTGAAGATGTTTCATGACCCAACTAGGGAACATCATCAATGTCAGAAGGGAGTGAGCTTTGTGGAGGGAGGGAAGGAAGGAAGGAAGGAAGGAAGGAAGGAAGGAAGGAAGGAAGGAAGGAAGGAAGGAGGGAGGGAGGGAGGAGGAGGAGGAGAAGGAGGAAGATTGTGGAGTACCTGAAGCTCTTTGAGCTTGGTTGCTTTCTTAAAGATGTTTCATGACCCAACTAGGGAACATCATCAATGTCAGAAGGGAGTGAGCTTTGTGGAGGGAAGGAAGGAAGGAGGGAAGGAAGGAAGGAGGGAGGGAGGAGAAGGAGAAGGAGAAGGAGAAGGAGAAGGAGAAGGAGGAAGACTGTGGAGTACCTGGTGCTCTTTGAGCTTGGTTGCTTTCTTGAAGATGTTTCATGACTCAAGTAGGAAACATCATCAATGTCAGAAGGGAGTGAGCTTTGTGGAGGGAAGGAAGGAAGGAAGGAAGGAAGGAAGGAAGGAAGGAAGGAAGGAAGGAGGGAGGGAGGAGGAGGAGGAGAAGGAGGAAGATTGTGGAGTACCTGAAGCTCTTTGAGCTTGGTTACTTTCTTGAAGATGTTTCATGACCCAACTAGGGAACATCATTGGTGCTAGTGGAGGAGAAGGTGGGGAAGAGGAGGAGGAGGAGGAGGAAGAGGAGGAGGAGGAGGAGGAGGAGGAGGAGGAGGAAGAAGTCTGTGGGGTACCTAATGCTCTTTGATCTTGGTTGCTTTCTTGAAGATGTTTCATGACCCAGCTAGGGAACATCATTGGTGCTAGAATAGTGGAGGAGTGGTCCTGGTGGTGGTGGTGGAAGAGGAGGAGGACTGTTGGGTCTTCATTACTCTCTGAGCTTGGTTGCTTTCTTGAAGATGTTTCATGACCCAACTAGGGAACATCATCAGGGCTAGAGGAGAATCTTATTTTCCTTATTTGAGAAGATGAGTGGCAACCATGGGGGTATGAAGAAGTCTCTGTAATCTTCAACCACAGTTATTGCAACTTTTCGACTTCTTCAGGTTCTCTTCCTGAAGACTCGTGAACGGAAGACCAACGTGGCTATTTTGCTCACCAGTTGCATGGATGGCTTCCTTTATGCCTGGTCAGTGGAAAATAAAGGAGGGATGTTGGGCAAATTCCGAGCTAGCCATGAAACTGGTCGGGACAGTGTGGTCACCACCATGTCCACAGATGACAAAGAGTTGATCCTCTTAACTGGAGATTCCTTGGGTTACATCAAGGTCAGTATTATTATTTCCTCCTCCTCCTCCTCCTCCTCCTCCTCCTCCTCCTCCTCCTCCTCCTCCCTCTTCCTCCTTCCTCTTCTTCCTCCTCCTCTTCTACTTCCTCCCTCTCCCCTCCCTCCTCCTCCTCCTTCTTCTCCTCCTTCTTCTCCTTCTCCTTCTCTTCCTCCTCCTCCTCCTCCTCCTTCTCCTCCTTCTCCTCCTCCTCCTCTTCCTCCTCCTCCTTCTTCTCCTCCTCCTCCTTCTTCTTCTTCTCCTCCTTCTCTTTCTCCTCCTCCTATTCCTCTTCCTCCTTCTCATCCTCCTTCTCCTTCTCCTCCTCCTCTTCCTCCTCTTCCTCCTCCTCCTCCTTCTTCTCCTCCTCCTCCTCTTCCTCCTCCTCTCCACCTCTTCCTCCTCCTTCCTCTTCTTCTTCCTCCTGTTCCTCCTCCTCCTCCTGTTCCTCCTCTTCCTCCTCCACCTCCGTAAAAAGTTCCTCAAATTAATTCAACTGTTGTCCCTGTTGTTTCTGGAAGTGACACCCTTTGAAGTTACATCTTGTATATTTTGACTCATTTTATGTCCTTGGGAAAGTGGTCCATAAATCTCCACCAGCATTAACAGAGGAAGGGTGTTAGGTAAAGCTTCCAATTTCCTCCAAATCTGCCATCCTCTCTGGGCCGATGACTGGAAAGGCCAATATATCTCGATTTGCCTGTCACTCTTCCAACACAATCGAGAGACTGATGGCCATAATGTATTTTTAGGACAAGGCGGCATCATCTCTGCACATTATTTTTACAGACAAGGGTTGATGAATTGCCGGAGTAGATTGAAAAGACATGTTATTCCAGGGAAACCCGCCGACTAAGCTGTCAATTTCAATTCTCCCAAAGTCAGAATTGTTCAGAATGGGAAGAGACAAGGGACAGAGTAGAACGGAGCAAGCCGTGACCGGTAGTCCTCGGCTTGTAGCCAAAATTTCTTTTGCTAAGATGGCGGTTAAGTGAACTTGGTCTCATTTTACGACCTTTCTTTGCCACAGTTGTTAACGCATCAGTTAGTAGTGACATGGTTGTTGCATACATCGGGCTTCCCTTTGCTTGGCAGATGGTTGCAAAAAAGGGAGTCACATGACCCCGGGACATTGACACCGTCATAAATACGAGTCGGTTGCCAAATGTCAGAATTTTGATCACGTGACCACAGGGAGGCTGCAATGGTTGTATGTTCTTCTGTCCCAGCCTGCGTGAGTCCTTGTTAACTCACAAGGACCAACCCCTCTTTGGAAATGCAGGGAAAACAAACCCCTGTTATTAATTAGGTACAGCCCTGCAAAATGTCCTCAATGCAAACGCAAACAAAACATGATGCAAACGGAGAATTGTCCCGAGGCAAATGGAACACGATTCAAACGGAGAATTGTTCACAGGCAAGGCAAACAGACCAGGATTCCATGAAACTTGAGTCCTTTGCAATTGGTTGCCTTCAGCAACCAGCACCGCCCACGCCTTCCCTTTTTATTACGCAGCCCCCAAGGCATGGCTTCTCAATGCCTTCTCCTCCTCCCTTGGAGTCGCCCTATGGCCTCCCTCTGTCCTGCTCTGGTTGCCTGTCTGGGTTTGCAAGCATCCATGATGTCTTCTAGCTGTGAGTCCTCAGAGTCTGACTCAGCTTCCCCGCATGGCTGGGTCTCAGCCTGAGCACGAGTGGAGGGGCCAGGCTCTTCACCAGATTGTAAGTCCTGGAGCTCCTCAGAGCCTTCCTCCGATGGCTCTCCAGACCCCTTCTCTTCCTCCTCCTCTGATTCCCCGGACTCAGCTGCCTGGTCCACTGGCTGGCACAGAATCACAACGTATGTGTGGAAAATGGTCATGTCACTTTTTTCAGCACCATTGCAACTTCAAACGGTCAATAAACGAACCATTGTAAGTTGAGGACTGGCTGTAGAATCATAAAACTGCTCCTTGAATCTTGACCTTCTCAAATTGGACCTGGAAATAAGTTGACTTTTGAGAACGTGCAAAGGATTTGTTTTAATGGCACCATAGAGGTAGTCCTCCCCAAAGGGGCTTTATTTGCGAGCCAACTGGACTTTCTTATTTTCTCTTTGAAGACGTTTCACTTCTCATCCCAGAAGCTTCCTCAGGTTCTGACCGGATGGTGGGGAATGGAAGGATTTATATTCTTTGTAGTCATCTGGCCGTTAGTACTCTTTCTGGGAGCTGTTGTGACCACTTGGATACAGGATGAGCAAATAAAGCCCAAGTGGCCCCAGTGACTCTCAGAAAGAGTATTAACAACCAGAGGACTGCCAAGAATACAAATCCTTCCATTCCCCACCAGGCAACTGGACTTCCTTGTTTTTCTTTTGAAGACGTTTTGCTTCTCATCCGAGAAGCTTCTTCAGGTTCTGACTGGATGGTGGGGAAGGGAAGGATTTATACTCCTTGCAGACAGCTGGTCATTTGCCTCCTTTTAGAGAGTCATTGAGGCCACCTGGAGTGTCCTCAGGGTCACCTGAGTAGGGAGGGATCTGACATCCTCTATCTCCAGTCTACAACACCAGTCCTTTCCGCAGTTCCAAGAAGGCTCCCCATCCATTTGTACCACTCGGGTGACCTTGAAGACAGAGGAAAACCTCCAAGTGGCCTCAATGGCTCTCTGAAAGAAGGCAAATGACCAGCTGTCTGCAAGGAGTATAAATCCATGTAACCGTTCCCGTGATTGAGCTTAACACTCGTAGCATAAAGAACCCTAAAATGAGGTGTGATTCGCTTAACAACTTCCTGGGCTTGGCAATGGAAATTCTGCTCCCTCGTAAATCGAGGACTACCTGCGTGGAGTTCAAAAAAGGCCGAACTATGGACGGACTCAAATTCATGGCTGGGATTGGCGGATCCAATGGCTGGGAAAATGTAAAGAAGTGAAAAACTGAGCAGAAGTGGAGGTTCCTTGGGTTACCTCAAGGTCAGTATTATTATTTCTATTATTTCTATTCCTTTTCCTCCTTCTCTTTCTCCTCTTTCTCTTTCTCCATCCTCCTTTTCTTCCTCCTCCTCTTCCTTCTCTTCTCCTTCTCTTCTTCCTTCTCCTTCTCTTCCTTTCTCCTCCTTTTCTTCCTCCTCTTCTTCCTTCTCTTCTCCTTCCCTTCTTCCTTCTCCTTCTCTTTCTTTTCTCCTCCTTCTCTTCCTTCTCGTCTCCTTCTCTTCTGCCTTCTCCTTTTCTTCCTTCTCTTCTCTTCCCCTTCTCTTCTCTTCCTTCTCTTCTCCTTCTCTTCCTGCTTCTCCTCTTGCTTCTTTTCTCCTTCTTTTCTTTTCTCCTTCTCTTCTCCTTTTCTTCCTTCTCTTCTCCTTCTCTTCTTCCTTCTCCTTCTCGTCCTTTTCTCCTCCTTCTTTTCTTCCTTCTCATCTCCTTCTCTTCTTCCTTCTCTTCCTTCTCTTCTCTTCCCCTTCTCTTCTCCTCTTCCTGCTTCTCTTCTTCTCTTCCTTCTCTTCTCCTTCTCTTCCTTCTCCTTCTCTTCCTGCTTCTCTTCTTCTCTTGCTTCTTTTCTCCTCTTCTTTTCTCCTTCTCTTCTTCTTTTCTACTCTTCCTTCTCTTCTCCTTTTCTTCCTTCTCCTCTTCCTTCTCTTCTCCTCTTCTTCCTTCTCCTTCTCTTCCTTCTCTTCTCCTTCCTTCTCTTCTCCTTCCCTTCTTCCTTCTCCTTCTCTTCCTTTTCTCCTCCTTCTTCTCCTCCTTCTCGTCTCCTTCTCTTCTGCCTTCTCCTTTTCTTCCTTCTCTTCTGTTCCCCTTCTCTTCTCTTCCTTCTCTTCTCCTCTTCCTGCTTCTCCTCTTGCTTCTTTTCTCCTTCTTTTCTTTTCTCCTTCTCTTCTCCTTTTCTTCCTTCTCTTCTCCTTCTCTTCTTCCTTCTCCTTCTCGTCCTTCTCTTTTCCTTCCCTTCTTCTTTCTCCTTCTCTTCCTTTTCTCCTCCTTCTCATCTCCTTCTCTTCTTCCTTCTCTTCCTTCTCTTCCCCTTCTCTTCTCCTCTTCCTTCTCTTCTCCTCTTCCTGCTTCTCTTCTTCTCTTCCTTCTCTTCTCCGTCTCTTCTTCTCTCCTTCTCTTCCTTCTCCTTCTCTTCCTGCTTCTCTTCTTCTCTTCTCTTCTTTTCTCCTCTTCTTTTCTCCTTCTCTTCTTCTTTTCTACTCTTCCTTCTCTTCTCCTTCTCTTCCTTCTCTTCCTGCTTCTCTTCTTCTCTTCCTTCTCTTCTCCTTCTTTTCCTTCTCTTCTCTTCCTTCTCTTCCACCTTTCCTCTTCCTCTCCTTCCTGTCCTCTTCCTCCAGATCTGGGACATCATGGATTACTGCACAGGCCCTGAAGTAGAAGATTCCAAGTTAGATCTGACTGAGGAATCTCCGCCCAAGAGGAACCCCTTCCGTGACTTAATCCCAGATTACTGCAGAATTGCTTCGACTTTCTCAGAAGACAGAGCAATCCAGCTGGTTAGTAGAAGAGCAGAATAACAGATTTCGAAGGGACCTTGGAGGTCATCTAGTCCAACCCCTGGTCATGCAGGAAACCCTGTACCATTTCACACAAATTGCTGTGCAATCTCTTCTTAAAAGCCTCCAGTGATGGAGCATCCACAACTTCTGGTGGCAAGCCGTTCCACTGATTAATTGTTCTCACTATCGCAAAATTTCTACTGTCCTTGATTGCTTCTGTCCTTGATTTTATCTCCTCGGTCATTTTCCATCGGTTGCTTCTTGTCCTGCCTTTAGAGCAGTGGTTCTCAACCTTTTTAATGCCGTGACCCCCAACCGGTCGTAAGTCGAGGACTACTCAACCGGTCGTAAGTCGAGGACTACTCAACTGGTGCAGCACCGTTTGCAGAATGGGACTTTTGGCGGGCTCAGCAGGGCAGAGACAGCCTGGACAATTCCTATTGGCTTTTGAAAGCCAATAGAATTAGACTCTATTCAAGAGAGTCTATTCTATTGGCTTTCAAAAGCCAATAGAATAAAAGGGAGTAGCACAGCTAAGGAAAAGGGGGGAAAAAATGGCGGACTGCATTGTTTGGCGACCCCCGTGAAATGGTCGTTCGACCCCAAATGGGGTCCCGACCCACCGGTGGAGAACCACTGCTTTAGGGGCTTTGGAGAATAGGTGGAGCCCCCCTCTTCTTGTAGCAGCCCCTGAAATATCGGAAGACTGCTATCATGTCACCCTTAGTCCTTCTCTTTGGTAGACAGAATAACAGAATAGCAGAGTTGGAAGGGAAATTGGAGGTCATCTAGTCCAACGCCCTGCTGAAGCAGGAGACCCTATACCAGTGATGGTGAACCTTTTAGAGACCAAGTGCCCAAACTGCAACCCCAAACCCACTTATTTATCGCAAAGTGCCAGGGCTGCATCAGCGTTGTGGTGCCCTCTGGGGGGCGTGGCCCACTGGGTGGGCGTGGCTGCAGTGGTGACGGCAGACTGGGTGAGCGTGGCCAGGGCCAGGGCAGCGGGAGTCAGTCCCTTGCCATCTTTGGGGCATCCCCAGCGGGCCAACGCTGCTTGCTCGCTTACTTCCTGCCCTGTCGCTTCCAAACGCCATGTGCTTGCTACTCTGGTGAATTCTGGTGGGGCAACGTGTGCGTGCCCACAGAGAGAGCTCTGAGTGCCACCTCTGGCACGCATGCCATAGGTTCACCACCATTGCCCTATAACATTTCAGACAATTGGTTGTTCAATCTCTTCTTAAAAGCCTGTCAGGAAGTTTCTCCTTAGTTCTAGGTTGCTTCTCTCCTTGATGAGTTTCCATCCGTTGCTTCTTGTCCTGCCTTCAAGCGCTTTGGAGAATAGCTTGACTCCCTCTTCTCTGGGGCAGCCCCTGAGATACTGGAAGGCTGCTATCATGTCCCCCCTCGTCCTTCTCTTCATTAAACTAGGCATACCCAATTCCTGCACCCACAACCTCTGGTGGCAAGCTGTTCCACTGGTTAATTGTTCTCATTCTCAGGAAATTTCTCTTTAATTCCAGGTTGCTTCTCTCCTTGATGCATTTCCATCTGTTGCTTTTTGTCCTGCCTTCAGGTGCTTTGGAGAATGGCTTGACTCCCCCTTTTTTGGAGCAGCCCCCGAGAGACTGGAAGGCTGCTATCATGTCTCCCCTCGTCCTTCTGTTCATTAAACTGGACATACCCAATTCCTGCATCCATTCTTCATATGTTTTAGCCTCCAGGCCCCTGATCCTCTTTGTTGCTCATTGTCTGAAATGGTGTAGGGTTTCCTGCCTGAGCAGGGGGTTGGACTCGATGACCTCCAAGGTCCCTTCCAACTTTATTATTATTATTATTATTATTATTGTTGTTGTTGTTGTTGTTGTTGTTATTGTTGTTATTATGAAAGGGTCCTATTGAGAAATGAGCCGACAGGATCAATATATCGGCCGTTCTTGATTGACAGCCATTTGTTTAGCAGCCATTCAAAATTACACTGGTGCTAAAAGACATGCCTTAAAACTGGTCTTCACGCTCACCACCGGTCACACGATCAAAATTAGGCTGCTTGGCGGCTGACAGTCGTTAAGTGAGCTTTAGCCCATTTTATGACCTGTCTTGCCGCAGTTGTTAAGTGGATCACTGCGGGGTTGTCGAGTTAGTAACCCAGTTGTGAAGGGTGTCCAGCTTCCCCAAGGGACTTTGTCAGGAGGTCACAAAACGGGACACTGCGACTGTCACAATACGAATTCTGATCCTGGGGATGCGGGAACGGTCGTCAATCTGAAAAATGGCCCTGCGGCTTTTTCCAGCCCTGTGCTAACTTCAAACGGTCACTAAGCGAACGATGGTGAATTGAGGAACACCTTGTACAATCATAAAAGTCATAAGGACGAGGCAGTTGCCAAACTTTGATCCCGTGTCCCGTGGGGATGCTGCAACGGTTTGTAAGTGTGCAAAATGGACAAAAGCCACTTTTCCCAGGGCTGTTGCAACTTCTGACGGTGACTTTGCGGAGTGTCGTGAGATGAGAACTTCCCGCATTTACGACGGTTGCTTCGTCTCATTTCCCCCCCCCCCTTTTCAATGGTGAAAAAAGTAAGGTTCTACATTTAGGAAAGAAGAACCAAATGTACAGGTATAGTATAGGTGGAACCATGCTCAATAGTAGTAACTGTGAGAGGGATCTCAGAGTCCTAGTAGACAATCCCTTAAATATGAGCCAACTATGTGCTACAGCTGCCAAAAAAGCCAACACAGTGTTGGGCTGCATTAAGAAAGAGATAGAATCAAGATCACGTGAACTGTTAATACCACTTTACAAGGCCTTGGTAAGGTTACACTTGGAATCCGGCATTCAGTTTTGGTCACCACAATGTAGAAAAGATGTTGAGACTCTAGAAAGAGTACAGAGAAGAGCAACAAAGATGATCAGGGGACTGGAGGCTAAAACATATAAGGAACGGCTGCTGGAATTGGGGATGTCTAGTTTGATGAAGAGGAGGAGGAGGGGGGGGACATGATAGCAGCCTTCGAATGTCTCAGGGGCTGCCCCAAAGAAGAGGGAGTCAAGCTCTTCTCCTGAAGGCAGGAGAAGAAGCAACAGGTGGAAACTAATCAAGGAGAGGAGCAACCTAGAACTAAGGAGAAACTTCTTGACAGTGAGAACAATTAACCAGTGGAACAACCTGCCTCCAGAAGCTCTGAATGCTCCAACACTGGAAGTTTTTAAGAAGAGACTGGACAGCCATTTGTCCGAAATGGTATAGGATTTCCTGCCTAAGCAGGGGGTTGGACTAAATGACCTCCAAGGTCCCTTCCAACTTCATTATTATTATTATTATTATGGATCATCGCACAGTCAGCCAGATGTTCAGACTGGATTTGGCATTTTGTCTACCTATCGAGTCCTTACCCAGGACCTGGGATAGGCAGACGTGGATGTTTGATGGTATTACAGACTCATCACAGGATGAAAGCAGTTCCTAATAAGGCCGCCTTTTTAGGAACTGCTTCCATCCTGCGACGATATCTGTAATACCATCAAACATCCACATCTGTAATTACATATCTGTAATAATAATAATAATAATAATAATAATAATAATAATAATAATAATAATTACTATCTGGGTTGGCCTGCTTTCCCACAATGCACTGCAGCCTCCCTCTTTTTTTTCCCCTGCAGGAACACGAAGGCTGGGTCACCACCCTGATCCCTCCTGTCTGCCTGAGTTCCTGGCGGGGCCACCTGAAGAACGTAATCAGCCTCCGATACGTGGAAAAGTTCCAAGCAGTGCTGACAGCCAGCCAGGACTGCACCATCAAACTCTGGCTGTTGACGGGCAGACACGTCGGTAAGGGCTCTTCAGGGGCCTGGGAGGTAAAATGGGGGAGCTAATTTGGGGTGGGGGTGAGGCAGGAGGATGAGAAAAGGGGTTTGACTCCACATAGGCCTTCTTCTGAGCTGGTCTGTTTTAGCTGGACTGGCCTACCTTGGTTTTCCTTTGGTGCGTTTTCCTGGGGGAGGGTTCCTCTGCTCTACATGACATTAAATGTGTAATATAATGCTGAAGATGTTACCTAGTAGTCTTCCTCTTCTTCTCCTTCTCCTTCTCCTTCTTCTTTTTTTTCTTCTTCACCCTTTCCACTATTATTCCTCCTCCTCCTCCTCCTCCTCCTCCTCCTCCTCCTCCTCCTCCTCCTCCTCCTCTTCTTCTTCTTCTTCTTCTTCTTCTTCTTCTTCTTCTTCTTCTTCTTCTTCTTCTTCTTCTTCTTCTTCTTCTTCTTCTCCTTCTCTTCTCCTTCTCCTCTCCTCCTCCCTTTCCACTATCTCCTCCTCCTCCTCCTGCCTCCTCCTCGCCTCCTCCTCCTCCTCCTTCCTCCTCCTCCTCCCTCCTCCTCCTCTTCTTCTTCTCTTCTTCTTTCTTCTTCTTCTTCTTCTTCCCTTCTTCTCCTTCTCCTTCTCCTTCTCCTCCTCCCTTTCCACGATATCCTCCTCCTCCTCCCCCCCTCCCCCACCACCACTCCTCCTCCGCCTCCTTCCTCCTGCCTATCCTTTTCTTCTTCTTCTTCTTCTCCTCCTCCGCCTCCTCCTCCTCCTCCTCCTCCTCCTCCTCCTCCTCCTCCTCCTCCTCCTCCTCTTCTTCTTCTTCTTCTTCTTCTTCTTCTTCTTCTTCTTCTTCTTCTTCTTCCTCCTCCTCCTCCTCCTCCTCCTCCTCTCAGCAAGTCCCACCCCCTTCTAGCACTGATGACATGGCTTGGTTGGGTCATAAAATGTCTGCAAGAAAACCACCAAGCTCACAGAGTACCCACAGTCGTTCCTCCTCCTCCTCCTCCTCCTCCTCTCTCAGCTACACATCTCCTCTGCTATCCGTCTTGCCTATCTGCAGCTGATAAATGTATCATTGGCACCAAGAAAATTGGGATTCCACATAAATCAAGAAAACATGCCTGCCTTTATTTTAGTTACAAAGGCTGGGTCTTCGCCATGCTTCTACGGCTGGGGTCTCCATGCTGGCTGCGGAATTCTGGGAGTTGAAGTCCGCAAGCCTTAAAGTTGCCAAATTCGGAGACCCCTGTTCTAAGGAATGGTGGAAACATCTGCGCAGTGTTGGGAAACCTTTTGGACTAAAATCAAAAGTTCTGTTTTGAAGACACCTCTGGGTCGTGGTTGCCTGGTGTGGGACTTCAATAGGAAGTGATGATGCACAAATTCTGTTCTGGAGGTCCACTTAAGTTTTTAAATGGACCTCCAGAACAATATTTGAGGGGCTGCCAAAAAGAAGAGGGGGGGGGGTCAAGCTATTCTCCAAAGCGCCTGAAGGCAGGACAAGAAGCAACAGATGGAAACTAATCAAGGAGAGAAGCAACCTGGAACTAAGGAGAAACTTCCTGACAGTGAGAACAATTAACCAGTGGAACTGCTTGCCACCAGAAGTTGTGGATGCTTCATCACGAGAGATTTTTTAAGAAGAGGCTGGATAGCCTTTTGTCTGAAATGATAGATGGTCTCCTACTTGAGCAGGGGGTTGGACTAGAAGACCTCTAAGGTCCCTTCCAGCTCTATTCTGATTAAATAAAGTTTGTTTCTGGTTTGACACTTAGGGACCTTCGGGCAGTCGTTGTGGAGCCTGGGGATATCGCACTTAATTCCACCAGAGATCCCTGAGGAAATACGTCACGTGGCATCCCTACACACGCTGAAAGTTCTCAATGAGGGCCGGCAACCCCACTGGGAGTGAGTAAATAGGCCACTTGGCTCAGAATGCACATATATAAATGCACAAATATAGTATAGGGGGTACCTTGCTCAATAGTAGTAACTGTGAGAGGGATCTCGGAAGCCTAGTGGACAATCCCTTAAATAGGAGCCAGCCGTGTGCTGCAGCTGCCAAAAAAGCCAACACAGTGCTGGGCTGCATTAACAGAGGAATGGAATCAAGATCATGTGAAGTATTAATACCACTTTACAAGGCCTTGGTAAGGCCACACTTGGAATCCTGCATCCAGTTTTGGTCACCACGATGTAAAAAAGATGTTGAGACTCTAGAAAGAGTACAGAGAAGAGCAACAAAGACGATTAGGGGACTGGAGGTTAAAGCACATAAGGAACGGTTGCTAGAATTGGGTATGTCTAGTTTAACGAAGAGAAGGACAAGGGGGGACAGGATAGCATAGCAGCCTTCCAGTATCTCAGGGGCTGCCCCAAAGAAGAGGGAGTCAAGCTATTTTCCAAAGCACCTGAAGGCAGGACAAGAAGCAATGGGTGGAAACTAACCAAAGAGAGAAGCAACCTAGAACTAAGGAGAAAGTTCCTGACAGAGAGAACAATTAATCAGTGGAACAGCCTGCCTCCAGAAGTTGTGCTTGCTCCATCATTGGAGCTTTTAAAATAGAGACTGGACAGCCCCTTGTCTGGAATGGTATAGGGTCTCCTGCCTGAGCAGGGGGATGGACTAGATGACTTCCAAGAACCCTTCCAACTCTGTTATTCTGTTCTTCAGTGGAACGGCTTGTCTCCAGAAGTTGTGGATGCTCCATCACTGGAAGTTTTCAAGAAAAGATGGAAAAGCACCAAATGACTGGGATGTATAAGGTCTCTTGCCTTGAGGGGGGGGGTTGGACTAGAAGATCTCCACGGTTCCTTCTAGAATGTAATGCAATGCAATGCAATGAACAGAATAGAAAAGAATAGGTAAGTAATAGAATAGAATATGGGAATAGGAATAGAATAGAATAGAATAGAATAGAATAGAATAGAATAGAATAGAATAGAATGGAATAGAATAGAAAATATGGAATGGAATGGAATGGAATGGAATAGAATAGAATAATTGGGAATAGACTACAATAGACGATAGAATAAGAATAGAATAGAATAGAACAGAATAGGATAGGAATAGAAAGAATAGTTGGGAATAGAATAGAATAGAATAGAAGAATAGAATAGAAAATATGGAATGGAATAGAATGGAATGGAATGGAATAGAATAGAATAGAATAGAATAGAATAGAACAGAATAGAATAGAATAGAATAGAAAAGAAAATATGGAATGGAATGGAATGGAATAGAATAGAATAGAATAGAATAGAATAGAATAGAATAGAATAATTGGGAATAGAATAGAAGATAGAATAGAATAGAAGATAGTATAGAATAATTGGGAATAGAATAGAAGATGGAATAGAATAGAAGGTGGAATAGAACAGACATGTCAAACACAAGGCCTGGAGGTCAGATGCTGTCCGCAAAGCCATCCTGGAAACAGTGAGGGAACGGCCCCGCTGCCTTGGCCCTGGCCCAGGCCGGCCGGGAACCAATGTACAATTTTGTGGTGGCCATCTGTGTTGAAACACATTCAGTCTTAGCTCCATAAGCCTCCCCCCCCCGCATGGCCTGAGAGGAACAGTGAGGCTCCTCCAGTGAACCATGCCTTGGCCCTTGCCCCGGTCCCATCCCCTTCTGCCAGAGACCCTCAGATCTGTCCCACTCCTGCCCAGGCCCCCACAGGCACCCTTGATGCGAATGATGTTGAGCTGGCCACACCCACCCAGTAGGCCACACCCACTCCATCCACACCCACCCAGTAGGCTGCACCCACCCTGGCCACACCCACCCGGCCCCCTGAGGGCAACCGGAATGCTGATGTGGCCCTCAGTGAAATTGAGTTTGACACCCCTAGAATAGAATGAATAAGGAATAGAATAGAATAGAATAGAATAGAATAGAATAGAATAGAATAGAATAGAATGAATAAGGAATAGAATAAAATAGAATAGAACAGAACAATAGAAAATATGGAATAGAATAGAATAGAATAGAGTAGAAAATATGGAATGGAATGGAATAGAATAGAATAGAATAGTTGGAAGGGACCTCGGAGGTCATCTAGTCCAACCCCCTGCTCAGGTAGGAGACCTTCTACCATTTTAGCCAAACGGCTGTCCAATCTCTTCTCAACAATCTCCCAGTGTTGGAGGCTTCTAGATCCCATCTTCCGAATTCTATGAATCCTGGGAGCTTCGGCCAGGCGCTCACGGTGCCTTCTTCCCTTCCACTCGGCCTCCCCGCAGGAGCACCCGCAAAATCGTCAAGACCCTGAGCCAGCAGCGGAGGCAGCAGTCCCTCCTGATGGACCTCCTGAGCCCCAAGTCCTCCCTCAGCATCGAGGGCGTGGAGAGGATGCAGGACCTCATCCAGAAGGAGACCCGGATGACCCAGTACAACGACGACCAAATCGAGGCGTCCTTTCAGAAGTGGGAGGAGTCTGGGAAGGTGAGCTCATTTACATTGATGCACCCGTGTGGCTCTAACTGGCCCTGCCCTGTTTTTGCCGTGTGGTGCCCCATTTTTGCTGGGCAGCGCCCTGTTTTCGGCCACGCGTGGCCCTGTTTTCATCATGCCGACATGGCACTAGTGCGAGTGGGGATGAGTGCCACGGGCCGATAGCGGGCTATGGCCCACAGATTGGGGACCCCAGGCTTCGATTTTACAAAAAAAAAAAAAGATCTGATGTGTCCCAATGTAGGCGAAGGAGGGGTAGAAATTGGGGGTGGAGTCAAGAGAGGCATCAGCCTAGAATCCCTACATGGCCGCGAACTAAGTCCAACCTGTCTTGAATTCCTTGGACTTTGATCTAACTCCTAGCAGGTGCCAATTATTAATGGAGAACATTCCTGTGCATTGCCATGATTAGCAATGTTGTTGTTAGCTGCGAAGTCGTGTCCGACCCATCACAACCCCACGGACAACGTTCCTCCAGGCCTTTCTGTCCTCTACCATCTTCTGGAGTTCATTGAAGCTCACGCCTGCTGCTTCAGGGACTCCATCCAGCCCCCTCCTTCTCTGTCGTCCCCTTCTTCTCTCGCCCTCCATCTTTCCCAGCATCAGGCTCTTCTCCAGCGAGTCCTTCCTTTTCATTAGGTGGCCAAAGGACTTGAATTTCAGCTTCAGGATCTGGCCTTCTAAGGAGCAATCAGGGTTGATCTCCTCTAGGACTGACCGGTTGGATCGCCTTGCAGTCCAAGGGACTCGCAGGAGTCTCCTCCAGCACCAGAGTTCAAAGGCCTCCATTCTTTGGTGCTCAGCCTTTCTTACGGTCCAGCTTTCCCAGCCACACATTGCAACTGGGAAAACCATGGCCTGGACTATACGCACTTTTGTTGGCAGGGTGACGTCTCTGCTTTTTAGATGATTAGCAATACATTCGTTTAACTCAGTGGTTCTCAACCTTTTTAATGCCGCGACCCCCAACTGGTCGTAAGTCAAGGACTACTCAACTGGTGCAGCCCCGTTTGCAGAATGGGACTTTTGGTGGGCTCAGCAGGGCAGAGACAGCCTGGACAATTCCTATTGGCTTTGGAAAGCCAATAGTAAGCGCAGGAAATCAGAAATCCAGGCAGTTCAAATGTAATAGTAATAGTAGTAAAGTTGGAAGGGACCTTGGAGGTCATCTAGTCCAACCCCCTGCTCGGGCAGGAAACCCTACACCATTTCGGACAAATGGCTGTCCAGTCTCTTCTTAAAAACTTCCAGTGTTGGAGCATTTACTGCTTCTGGAGGCAGGCTGTTCCACTGATTAATTGTTCTCACTGTCAGGAAGTTTCTCCTTAGTTCTAGGTTGCTTCTCTCCTTGATGAGTTTCCACCCGTTGCTTCTTGTCCTGCCTTCAGGTGCTTTGGAAAATAGCTTAATTCCCTCTTCTTTATGGCAGCCCCTGAGATATTGGAATACTGCTATCATGTCCCCCCTTGTCCTTCTCTTCGTTAAACTAGACATACCCAATTCTCGCAACCGTTCCTTATATGTTTTAGCCTCCAGTCCCCTAATCATCTTTGTTGCTCTTCTCTGTACTCTTTCTAGAGTCTCAACATCTTTTTTACATCGTGGTGACCAAAACTGGATGCAGTATTCCAAGTGTGGCCTTACCAAGGCATTGAAGAGTGGTATTAATACTTCACGTGATCTTGATTCTATCCCTCTGTTAATGCAGCCTAGCACTGTGTTGGCCTTTTTGGCAGCTGCAGCACACTGCTGGCTCATATTTAAGTGATTGTCTACTAGGACTCCGAGGTCCCTCTCACAGTTACTACTATTGAGCATGGTGCCACCTATGCTGTACTTGTGCATTTGGTTTTTCTTGCCTAAATGTAGAACCTTGCTTTTTTCACCATTGAATTTCATTTTGTTAGTTAGTGCCCAGTGTTCAAGTCTGTCCAGATCCTTCTGTATCTGAAGCCTGTCTTCTGGAGTGTTGGCTATTCCTGCCAGCTTGGTGTCGTCTGCAAATTTGATGAGTTCCCCATCTATCCCTTCATCCAAATCGTTGATGAAGATGTTGAAGAGTACTGGGCCCAGAACAGAGCCCTGGGGCACCCCACTACACACTTCCCTCCATATAGATGCAGTTCCATTGAGGACCACTCGCTGAGTACGGCCGGTCAGCCAGCTACGGATCCATCTGGTGGTGGTTCTGTCTACCCCACATTTTTCTATCTTGTCAAGTAGTAGGTTGTGATCTACTTTATCAAATGCCTTACTGAAGTCCAAGTAAATTATGTCCACAGCATTCCTCTGATCCACTAATTTTGTCACTTGGTCAAAGAATGCAATAAGATTTGTCTGGCATGATCTATTTTTGACAAACCCATGTTGGCTTTTAGTAATGACTTTGTTTGCCTCTAGGTGTTCGTTGATTCGTTGTTTGATTATCTTTTCCAGGATCTTCCCAGGTATTGAGGTCAGGCTGATAGGTCTGTAATTTCCTGGATCCATTTTTTTTCCTTTTTTGAGGATGGGAACTACATCAGCTCTTTTCCAGTCCTCTGGTAGTTCCCCTGTGTTCCAGGATCTTTGAAAAATATAGTTCAGTGGCTCCGATATCACATCTGCCAGTTCCTTGAGAACTCTGGGGTGTAATCCGTCTGGTCCTGGCGATTTGAACTCATCTAGGCTGGACAGGTGCTCACTAACGATTTTCTTGCCTATCTTAACTTGTGTTTCTGTTTTGTTTTTTGTGGCACTATTTTTGATAGGTTGGTCTGTTTTTTCCCTTTGTGTAAAGACAGATGCAAAAAATGAGTTAAATAGTTCTGCTTTCTCCCTGTTGCTTGTCACCTTCTTGCCACTTCCACCCACTAATGGACCAATCATTTCCTTCACTTTTTTCTTGTTTTTTACATGTTGAAAGAAGCTTTTTTTGTTATTTTTGACTTTGGTCGCAAGCCTCAGTTCATTTTGAGCCTTGGCTTTCTTCACTTCATCTTTGCAGGCTCGGGCTATTTGCTGATATTCTGACTTAGTTATGTTCCCCTCTTTCCACTTTCTATACTTGTCCTTTTTATCTTTCAATTTGTCAGAGAGTTCTTTATGCAGCCATGCTGGTTTCTTTTGAGAGCTGTTATTTTTCCTCTTTGTTGGTATTGTGCTAGACTGTGCTTTTATTATCTCATTTTTCAAAATTTCCCAAGCTTCTTGAGTTGTTTTCCCCTTGAGGATTCTCATCCATGGAATCCTTCCCAAGCCCTCTCTAAGTTTATTGAAATTAGCTCTCTTGAAGTCCAAGACTCTAGTTTGACTGTGTTCTATTGGTTGTGCTTCTATAATGTTGAATTCTAATATTGCATGATCACTTCCTCCCAGGGTTCCTATGGCTCCAACACCGTCTATCATTTCATCTCTGTTAGTGAGAATTAGATCCAAAATGGCTAATCCCCTAGTTCCATTCTCTACTTTTTGGGAGACAAAGTTGTCTGCTAGGTTTGCCAGGAACCTGTTTGATCTTCCACTTGGTGCGGAGTTTGTCTCCCAGTTGATGTCAGGGTAGTTAAAGTCCCCCATTACTATTGTGATGTGCTTCCTACATACCTTAGTTAGCTGACTAGCAAAAAGTTCATCTATTTCCTCTGTTTGGTTGGGTGGTCTGTAGTATACACCTATGGCAATGTCATTCCCCCCCCCTTTTATATTGACCCAAATGCATTCAAGACAGTTTTTATCATTGTTGTACTCTATTTCTGTGAAGATGTAGTTATTTCTTATATAGAGAGCAACTCCACCTCCTCTTTTATTTGGTCTGTTTCTTTTAAATAATTTAAATCCCTCTAGCTGTGTGTTCCATGTGTGAGTTTCATCCCACCATGTTTCCGTAATGGCAACAATATCGTATCTGCCCTCATTAACCTGAATTTCTAGTTCACCCTGTTTGCTGTTCATACTTTGTGCATTGGTGTATAAACATTTGAGTCCTTTGTGGGTGGCCCTGTGTTTCCTTTCTACATAACCTGTGTGGTGCCTGAGTTCCCCTATTGTCTTACCACCTATTTGGTTAGTGCACTTTATATGGCACTCGCTATTAGAGGCTTCATTTTGATTGGTAGCAAGGTTGGTATTCTTGTCCACACACACATCTGTGCTACATGCACTGATAGCCCTATAGTTTTTAAATTGCCGGGGACAGGGTTGTTCCGTATCAATTAACTCCCTGTCCCCGCTGTTTAGTTTAAATTTCCCTCCAGAAAATCTGTGAATTTATAGCCGAGTAACTCAGTCCCTTTTTTTGATGGATGCAAACCATCTCTTTTGTACATCTTTTGATTGGACCAGCTACTGACATCGTGACTAATATATCCAAAGCCTTCCCCTTTACACCATTCCTTTAGCCACATATTGAATTGTGCTATGCGCTGGCCTTTTCCGTTTTGCTCCTTATACACTGGTAAAACCTCTGAGAAAGTAAGCCTACAGCCTATTCTGCTAAGTTCCTTCCCCAAGCTCTGGAAATCATTCTGCACAGAGAGTACATCTTTTTGGGACAGATCATTAGTGCCAAGGTGTACAATAGCCTCCACATCACAGTCCTTGCTGCCATTCTTGATTATTTTAGAAATACGCTTCTTGTCCCTACTGGCAGTAGCACCTGGAAGACACCTGACCTCTTTCAAAGCCTCTGTGTCCTTTCCTAAATTTACATCCCTTATAATTGAATCACCTACCAGAAGGTAGCTTCTCTTTTTGGGAGCCTTTCTATTCTTGCATGACTGATGTGCAATACCTGATTCACACTTCTCCCTATCAAAATCTAGTTCTTCATCTCGGACCACAATCCCCTGCTTATTTGAGTTATCTTCACAAATACCTTTACCAGTCTCCTTAATGTCCCTATTAAGGTCAGCAAGAGCACTGTAGCTGTTGTGCAGGGACACAGCGAAAGCTTTGTGTTTATGGTTCACAGCTCTCACCCTGCCAGATCCCACGGTTGTCCACACTGCCCTTTTCCTGCAGGATCTTTGTGGTAAAGGGGGCTGATAGCAGGGAGGCTTACTAGAGTAGAGGGGCTGAACTGGACACCTAATTTCTGCCCGAAGAGCACGGATTACAGACCCTAGGTAAATGATCTGTCCTTGTAGGCTAGTGATTTGTTTACAGATAGGACAGTTTCCAAGTTTGAAAAGGGTACTGCGAAGGACGGCTGCAAAGCAGGTGTTGCACTGAACTAAGCCGGACATCTTAGATACAGGGGATGTCAGACACACTTGCCCTGAATGTACTGCTACTGTTTGTGATTTTTAGTTATATAGTTATATAATTCGCGCGCCGTTAGGCGCGCGGGCCGCTACTTTCCTGGTGGATTCTCCCAAAACTTACAGTTTAAGCAGCAGCTGGTGGAATGTAGCACGTTCCAGCAACCCGATCAGAGTTGGAATGGGGTTTAAATAGAGTATAATACCCTATAAATATAATGGAGATCCAATCAGGGCCTTGCTACTTTCCTGGTGGATTCTCCCAAAACTTACAGTTTAAGCAGCAGCTGGTGGAATGTAGCACGTTCCAGCAACCCGATCAGAGTTGGAATGGGGTTTAAATAGAGTATAATACCCTATAAATATAATGGAGATCCAATCAGGGCCTTGCTACTTTCCTGGTGGATTCTCCCAAAACTTACAGTTTAAGCAGCAGCTGGTGGAATGTAGCACGTTCCAGCAACCCGATCAGAGTTGGAATGGGGTTTAAATAGAGTATAATACCCTATAAATATAATGGAGATCCAATCAGGGCCTTGCTACTTTCCTGGTGGATTCTCCCAAAACTTACAGTTTAAGCAGCAGCTGGTGGAATGTAGCACGTTCCAGCAACCCGATCAGAGTTGGAATGGGGTTTAAATAGAGTATAATACCCTATAAATATAATGGAGATCCAATCAGGGCCTTGCTACTTTCCTGGTGGATTCTCCCAAAACTTACAGTTTAAGCAGCAGCTGGTGGAATGTAGCACGTTCCAGCAACCCGATCAGAGTTGGAATGGGGTTTAAATAGAGTATAATACCCTATAAATATAATGGAGATCCAATCAGGGCCTTGCTACTTTCCTGGTGGATTCTCCCAAAACTTACAGTTTAAGCAGCAGCTGGTGGAATGTAGCACGTTCCAGCAACCCGATCAGAGTTGGAATGGGGTTTAAATAGAGTATAATACCCTATAAATATAATGGAGATCCAATCAGGGACTCTATCCAAGAGAGTCTATTCTATTGGCTTTCAAAAGCCAATAGAATAAAAGGGAGTAGCACAGCTAAGGAAAAGAGGGAAAAAAATGGCGGACTGCGTTGTTTGGCGACCCCCGTGAAATGGTCGTTCGACCCCAAATGGGGTCCCGACCCACCGGTTGAGAACCACTGGTTTAACTGGACTTTTAAGGATGGACCTGACCTTTCACACCTGACGCCAGACAAGTCACGCTCCATAAGTACATAAGCTCTACCAGCACCCTGCTACACTTTGGGGGGTGGGGGAGAAAGATCAAGACCTTTGGAAGATCATTAGGGTGAGATGTTCCATGAAGCTGTTGGAGTTCACCCCCCCCCCCGGAAAAGATTAGGGGAAAACTGGTGGTGGGATCCTGAGCTACAGGAGATGCCTGAGCAACATCCTCTGATGTGTCTGCAGAAAAGCGACATCCTGGGTCACTCCTACAAGCAGAAGGGGCGTCGGCCTTTGCTGAAGCAGCTTCCGGAGGTGAAGGCCTCGGTGGCCAACAAGGACCAGGTGAGCAGAGTAAAGAGAGCTTTGGATGAAGGTGGAGACTTCAAAACGTCTCTTTGGTGGCCCACAACTCGCAGGAGGCAACTTCTCAAGTGGGTGGGGAGTTCACTGATGTTCCCGGTCCCACCATCTTCTAAGCCTGGCTTCCAGAGGTCATTTCTGTTCTGGTTGACAGTTTTGTGTTTCGTTGTACGTTATCACCGAAAGGAAGGTTTTTGATAGGATTTTGGAATGCTTGGCGCTTTTGGATCTTGGTTGGGTTTTCTTTTCTGCAGACGTTTTGTAGGGTAACAAGGTAATATCATCAGGGCTAGTAGAGTATGCGTGGGGAGGAGGAGGAGGAGGAGGACTGTGGGGTCCTTGATGCTCTCTGGACTTGGGTTTCTTGAGACATTTAATTGCTTGACTTGGTAACATCAGTGCTAGAAGGGAGAGGAGGAGGAGGAGGAAGAAGAAGAAGAAGAAGAAGAAGAAGAAGAGGAGGAGGAGGAAGAAGAGGAAGAAAAAAAGGAGGAGGAGGAGGAGGAGGAGGAGGAGAGGACTGTGGGGTCCTTGATGCTCTCTGAGCTTGCTTGATTCCTTGCACACATTACATACTCAACTAGGTAACATCATCAGATCTAGAAGGGAGTGACATTTGTAGGGAGGAGGAGGAGGAGGAGGAGGAGGAGGAGGAGGAGGAGGATGACTATGGGATCCTTGGTGCTCTCTGAGCTTGATGGTTTTCTTGCAGACGTTTCATGACCCAGCTAGGGAACATCATCAGTTCCAGAGGGGAGGGGGGTTTGCAGGAGGAGGAGGAGGAGCAGGAAAAGGAGCAGGAGCAGGACATGACTGTGGAGTCCTTGGTGCTCTCTGAGCTTGGTGGTTTTCTTGTAGACATTTCATGACCCAACTAGGTAACATCATTAGTGCTAGGGAGGGGGATTTGCAGAGAGGAGGAGGAGGAGGAGGAGGAGGAGGAGGAGGAGGAGGAGACTGTGGGGTCCTTGGTTGCTTCTTGTCCTGCCTTCAGATGCTTTGGAGAGCAGGTGGAAACCCCCCCTTCCTCTTTGTATCAACCCCTAAATATTATTATTATTATTTGGAGATCATCTAGTCCAACCCCCTGCTCAGGCAGGAAACCCTACACCATTTCAGACAAATGGTTGTCCAGTCTCTTCTTAAAGACTTCCAGTGTTGGAGCATCCACAACTTCTGAAGGCAAGCCATTCCACTAAATAACAGAATAACAGAATTGGAAGGGACCTTGGAGGTCATCTAGTCCAACCCCCTGCTCAGGCAGGAAACCCTACACCATTTCAGACAAATGGTGTCCAGTCTCTTCTTAAAGACTTCCAGTGTTGGAGCATCCACAACTTCTGAAGGCAAGCCATTCACTAAATAACAGAATAACAGAATTGGAAGGGACCTTGGAGGTCATCTAGTCCAACCCCCTGCTCAGGCAGGAAACCCTACACCATTTCAGACAAATGGCTGTCCAGTCTCTTCTTAAAAACTTCCAGTGTTGGAGCTTTCACCGCTTCTGGAGGCAGGTTGTTCCACTGGTTAATTGTTCTCACTGTCAGGAAGTTTCTCCTTAGTTCCAGGTTGCTTCTCTCCTTGATGAGTTTCCATCCGTTGCTTCTTGTCCTGCCTTCAGGCGCTTTGGAGAATAGCTTGACTCCCTCTTCTTTGGGGGCAGCCCCTGAGATACTGGAAGACTGCTATCATGTCCCCCCTCGTCCTTCTCTTCGTTAAACTAGACAGACCCAATTCCAGCAACCGTTCCTTATATGTTCTAGCCTCCAGTCCCCTGATCATCTTTGTTGCTCTTCTCTGCACTCTTTCTAGAGTCTCAACATCTTTTTTACATCGTGGTGACCAAAACTGGATGTCGCATTCCAAGTGTGGCCTTACCAAAATGGTGTGCGTGTGTGTGTGTGTGTACATTTGGCATGTGCATTTGTAAAAAAGAGCAGGTGTGCATTGTCACCAGTAAAGCTTTACTATTCCTTTAAATCCACCAGATGTCTGGCTGTCTATGGAGACACTCAATCTTCCAAGTCAAAGTTGCTTTTTCCCAAAAGGCAACTGGATTTCTTTGGGTTTTTTTTCTTTGAAAACATTTCATTTCTCACCAAGTTCTGACATGATGTGAGGACATGATAGCAGTTTTCCAATATTTGAGGGGCTCCAGCAAAGAAGATGGGAGGGGGTCCACCTATTCTCCAAAGCACCAGAAGGCAGGACAAGCAGCAACAGATGGAAATTAATCAAAGAGGAAACCTGTCTGAAACTAAGGAGAAATTTCCTTTGTTCGTGAGAATAATTAAACACTAGAATGACTTGCCTCCAGAAGTTGTGGGCGCTCCAACACTGGAGGTTTTTTAATAAAAGAATGGGAATTAACCTGGAATTAAGGAGAAACTTTCTGACAGTGAGGACAACCAACCAGTGGAACAGCTTGCCACATGGAATTGTGGGCACTGCATCCCTGGAGGTTTTTAAGAAGAGACTGGATAGCCATTTGTCTGAGATGGTGGAGGGTCTCCTATTTGTTCAGGGGGTTGAGCTAGAAGGCCTCCAAGGTCCCTTCCAACTCTGCTATTCTGTTCTGTTATACTTGAGAAGCAAAATGCTTTTTTAAAAAAATCCCAAGAAAGTTCAGTTGCCTTTTGGAAAAAAGCGTCTTTGGGGTAGATATCTGGGCCTTTCAAAGAACAGGTTGTGTTTGTTGTGATTCCGTGCCAGCCTGTGCTCCCAACAGCTGAGTCTGAGGAATCTGAGGAGGAGGTGGAGGAGGCATTTGAAGGGCCATCAGGGGCAGAGGGAGGCTCGGATGAATTACAGGACTCACGGTTGGATGCAGAGCCTGGACCCTCCAGTCGTGCTCCTGATGAAGCTCAGCTGTGTGAGGAGAATGAGTCAGACTCGGAGGACTCACACCTGATGGACATGCTAACGGATGCACGCACACGTCGTCAATTAGTGAGAGCAAATCAGCAGCAGTCCATACAGCAACTCCAGGGTAAAAGGATAAGGCAATGAGAGGCAACGCCTTGGGACTGCTGTATAAAAAGAGGAGGTGTGGGCGGTGCTGGTTGCTGAAGGCAACCGTTTGCAAAGTGCTTCTTGGAATCCTGGTCTGTTCGTCTTGCTTGTGACTTCTCTTTTGTTTGCATCGTGTTTCCTGTGGACTATTTCCTTCCTTTGGACTTGAGTTTTGCTGTTTGTGTTTTGGACTATTTGGCAGGTTTGTCACCCATATTAAAAGGGGTTTGTTTTGTTTTAAAGCCTATTTTATCAAAAGGGGTTTGGTCCTTGTGCCTTTAACAAGGTCGGCAATAGGCTGGGATAGAACAGGTTGTTCCTCCATGTTGGGTGGAAAGTGATCTGAGTGTGGCTGATGATCTGAGGTGGGAGTGTGTGTGTGTGGGAATGACCACATGGTGACCCTGGGTGCATGTCATCTGTCACTGTGCTGGACCAGTTATGTAATCATCTGGCCAGAGTATATACTTGAGGACTGTGTTATTGTGTTTAGCATTTACAAGGTTAATGTTGTATCATTGAGAGAACTGTATGTTAGAAGGTTTAGGGTCTAAAGGGTTAAATGCTCTTTCCTTAAGAGATGGCTTATGAGTAATGTAGTCTTAGCGGTCAGTTAATCCTATAGTTTATCAAGTCATTAGGAGGGTTTCAAGTTTATTGCAGTACTTCCTAGCTTCGTGTATGTAGAAGCCATTGTGAAGACAGACATGAGGTGATGTGTCCATAAGAGCCATGGGGTGAGTCTACCATTAATTCTTCACCGGAAGAACGGAGAAGGTTATGATATGTTCATCAGAAGAACTCTTCTTGACTGTAAGTTATTGTCTGAGATTCCTGAGGAATAAATAATCTGAATATTATCCCGTTCTTTGGAGTTTATCTGTCTGAGAAAGCAGGATTAAAGCAGGTTTGGACCAGAACAACGAAGAATTAATGGTAGACTCACCCCATGGCCCAGAGCAGTCACTGTAGTCTTGCCATGCAGTGACAATGTGCTATGAACTCTGGGGAGTATAGATGGTAGAGGGAATGCTTGTGGGAAAGTGAAAGTAACTTCTGTATCTCCCTGCAATGCTGCTTTAAGGCCACCTGGCTGGGAGAAGAATGTAGCTGCACACCAACCAACCAACATCGGAAGTGATCATTCTGAAAACATTTGCTTGAACATAATTGGTGTGTGAATAGAACAGAATAGAATAGAGCTGGAAGGGGCTTGAGAGCGATAAGAGGCAATTAAGGGAGGGAAACGTTGAACTTGGGAATTTTGGCACATGATTCTGAATTCTGGCTATGCAGTATTGCAATATTCTGGGCTTCTAATAAAATTATACTTTTCTCAACAAATGGAGCCAAGGATCATTTCAGAATAGAATAGAATAGAATAGAATAGAATAGAATAGAATAGAATAGAATAGAATAGAATAGAATAGAATGGAATAGAATTATGGGATAGAATAGAATAGGATAGGATAGTATAGGATTTTGAGATAGAATAGAATAGAATAGATTGCAGAATAGAATAGAGTAGAGTAGAATAGAATAGAATAGAGTAGAGTAGAGTAGAGTAGAGTAGAGTAGGATAGGATAGGATAGGATAGGATAGGATAGGATAGGACAGGACAGTGGTTCTCAACCTGTGGATCGGGACCCCATTTGGGGTCGAATGACCATTTCACGGGGGTCGCCAAACCACGCTGTCCGCCATTTTTTTCCCTTTTCCCTAGCTGTCCTACTCCCTCTTATTGGTGGCCACACCCACTTGGGGGTCACCGCAACATGGAGAACTGTATTATGGGGTCACGGCATTAGAAAGGTTGAGAACCACTGGGATAGGATAAGATAGGATAAGATAGGATAGGATAGAATTATGGGATAGAATAGAATAGATTGTAGAATGGAATGGAATAGAATAGAATAGAATAGAATAGAATGGAATGGAATGGAATGGAATAGAATAGAATAGAATAACAGAGTTGGAAGGGATCTTGGAGGTCTTCTAGTCCAACCCCCTGCTCAAGCAGGAGAATCTATACCATCTCAGACAGGTGAATGTCCAGTCTCTTCTTAAAAATCTCCAGTGATGGGGCACTCACGATTTCTGGTGGCAAGCTGTTCCACTGGTTAATTGTCCTCACTGTCGGGAAGTTTCTCCTTAATTCCAGGTTGCTTCTGTCTTTGGCCAGTTTCCAACTATTGTTTCTCGTCCTTCCCTCTGGTGCTTTGGACAATAACGTGACCCCCTCTGCCTTGTGGCAGCCCCTCAGATACTGGAACGCTGCTATCGTGTCTCCCCTATTTCTTCCTTTCTTTAGACCGGCCAAACCCAAGTCCCGCAGCTGTTCCTCATATGTTTTAGCCTCCAGGCCTTGGATCATCCTAGTTGCTCTCCTCTGAACTTTTTCCAAAATCTCAACCACTTTTTTTGTAGTATGGCAACTAAAATTGGCTGCAGTGTTCCAGGTGTGTGGCCTCGCTAGGGTTTTATGAAGCGGTACTAATACTTGGAGTGATCTTCATTCTCTGCCTCTGTTTATGCAACCCAGGATTGTGTTGGCTTTGTGGGCGGCTGCTGCACACAGCAGCCCCGTTTAGAGCAGCGGTTCTCCACCTGGGGGTCGGGACCCCATTTGGGGTCGAATGACCATTTCACGGGGGTCGCCAAACAAGGCTGTCCGCCATTTTTCCCCCTTTTCTTTGGCCACGCCCCTGGCACCAGGTGATGTATAAGTGGTTGGGGGTCACCACAACATGGGGAACTGTATTATGGGGTCGTGGCATTAGAAAGGTTGAGAACCACTGCTTTAGAGGCTTACGTTGGAGCCAGTCTGACAATGCACGTGTAACAAACGCTTTCTTCCCCCTCAGCCTCGGATCTACCACTGCATCCAGTACACGGACCTTCACCCGCTGATCAGTCCTCAAATCCCGGACGTTTTGGCGGAAGCCCAACAGATGCAGGCCTTGGCCGACATCAAGGGCTTCCGGAAGGGCAAGCGATGGATGGCGCTGACGGGCGTCATGAAGCCCAATCTGAAGAACATGATGCTGCGCAGGAACGCCCTCCTTACCAAGGACTGATCCACCAGCCCGAGCTTGCAGATTTGCCAGGCTTTCCAGGTCCCCATTCGGTCCAGTCTCCGGATTCCTGCAGAAGAATTTTTTTTTTAAATTTTTTTTACAAAGCGTTGAAGTGGCTGAAGCTTGGAAATAAACATAAGGGGTGAAAGTCCGTGGCTTGGGGTGGTCTCTCTCCAGCTCAAAGGAGGGTGGAGGGTTCCAGATGGAGAAGGAGAAACGTCCTGACAGTGAGAACAATTAACCAGTGGAACTACCTGCCTCCAGGTGTTATGGGGGCTCCAACACTGGAAGTTTTTAAGAAGAGACTGGACAGCCATTTGTCTGAAATAGTATAGGGTTTCCTGCCTGAGCAGGGGGTTGGACTAGATGACCTCCAAGATCCCTTCCAATTTCTTCTTCTTCTTCTTCTTCTTCTTCTTCTTCTTCTTCTTCTTCTTCTTCTTCTTCTTCTTCTTCTTCTTCTTCTTCTTCTTCTTCTTTCTTCTTCTTCTTCCTCCTCCTCCTCCTCTTCTTCTTTTTCTTCCTTTCTCCTCCTCCTCCTCCTCCTCCTCCTCCTCCTCCTCCTCCTCCTCCTCCTCCTCCTCCTCCTCCTCTTCTTCTTCTTCTTCTTCTTCTTCTTCTTCTTCTTCTTCTTCTTCTTCTTCTTCCTCTTTCTCCTCCTCCTCCTCTTCTTCTTCTTTTTCTTCTTCCTCTTCTTTCTTTTTCCTCCTCCTCCTCCTCCTCCTCCTCCTCTTCTTCTTCTTCTTCTTCTTCTTCTTCTTCCCCCTCCCCTCCCCCTCCCTCTCCCCCTCCCCCTCTTCGTCTCTTCTTCTTCTTCTCTCTTCTTCTTCTTCTTCTTCCCCCTCCCCCTGCCCCCTCCCCTCCCCTCCCCCTCCCCCTCCCCCTCCCCTCCTCCTCCTCCTCCTCCTCCTCCTCCTCCTCCTCCTCCTCCTCCTCCTCCTCCTCCTCCTCCTTCTTCTTCTTCTTCTTCTTCTTCTTCTTCTTCTTCTTCTTCTTCTTCTTCTTCTTCTTCTTCTTCGCCAGCTTTTCAAAGGCAGAGGTTCTGGAGCATGTATTAGAGGAGCTTATCAAAGGAAAACGGGCTGATCCACTCCTTTGTGCTTTCCGAGTTTAATTGGTTTGTCGAAACATAAAATATAGGCAGCTCAGAATGACAGAGTTGGAAGGGACCTTGGAGGTTTTCTAGTCCAGCCCCCTGCTCAGGCAGGAGAACCTATGCCAGTAATGGCGAACCTTTTAGAGACTGAGTGCCCAAACTGCAACCCAAAACCCACTTATTTATTGCCAAGTGCCAGGAACGCATCAGCATTGTGGTGCCCTCAAGGGGGGGGGGGCAGAGAGGCACCTCTGAGTTCTGCCTCTGGCATGCAAAAACCGGGGGGGGCAAAAATGGGCCACCGCGCTGCAAGGTGCAAAAATGGCCGCCGCCGTGCCGCGGGGTGCAGATACAAGGAGCTGCACCCTGCAAGAATCACGCTGTATCACGCAGGCACTAGCTCTGCGCCATTTGCAGTGTGTGTATTCTCGTGGCCCCGTGCGCGCATGCACGCATGTAAAATGCTTCCCCCTCCCTTTTCTTCCAGTCCACCAATCGACAATGGTTGGTGACCTCTGCTCTGCCACCTCTACTCCAGCTTGTTAGTCAGCCACTTCGCCTCCTTTGTGCTGAGTGGAGCTCCTGTTCCGGGCAGCGGTGGTGGCCTGATGGACCTGTTGTTGGTGGCAGCGCGTGTGCCAACAGAGAGCGCTGAGTGCCGCCTCTGGCACGTGTGCCATAGGTTCGCCATCACTGACCTATGTCCTTTCTTCTTAAAAACTTCCACTGTTGGAGAGCTTCCAGTTGGTAAAGGGTGACATAAAGAATGCAACAAAGATTTTGCAAGATCAGGCCTGATCTTCGGAATCCAGTATTCTGCTTCCCACCGTGGCTGATCTGATTCTCCCCCAAAGACACTGCAAGTAATTTCTCACTAGTTTGTGAGTTCACTTTTTTTCTGAGTTTGTGCATTTATATGCTCAGAGAGTACCAAAGACACTTCAGTTCAAACCTTCCTTCCTTCCTTCCTTCCTTCCTTCCTTCCTTCCTTCCTTCCTTCCTTCCTTCCTTCCTTCCTTCCTCTTTCTTTCTTTCTTTCTTTCTTTCTTTCTTTCTTTCTTTCTTTCTCTTTCCTCCCTTCCTCCTTCCTCCTCCTCTTCTTCCTCCCTCCCTCCCTCCTTCCTCTTTCTTTCTTTCTTTCTTTCTTTCTTTCTCTTCCTCCCTCCCTCTGTCCCTCCTTCCTCCTCCTCCTCCCTCCTTTCTTTCTTTCTTTCTTTCTTTCTTTCTTTCTTTCTTTCTTTCTTTCTTTTTCTTTCTTTCTCTTCCTCCCTCCCTCCCTCCCTCCATCCCTCCCTCCTTCCTCCTCCTTCCTTCCTCCTCCTCCTCCTCCTTCCTTCCTTCCTTCCTTCCTTCCTTCCTTTCTTTCTTTCTTTCTTTCTCTTCCTCCCTCCCTCCCTCCGTCTCTCCCTCCCTCCTTCCTCCTCCTCCTCACTCCTTCCTTCCTTCCTTCCTTTCTCTCTCTCTCTCTCTCTCTCTCTTTCTTTCTCTTTCCTCCCTCCCTCCCTTTCTCATCCTCCTCCTCCTCTTCCCCTCCCTCCCTCCCTCCCTCCCTCCCTCCTTCCTTCCTTCCTTCCTTCCTTCCTTCCTTCCTTCCTTCCTTCCCCCCCCCTCTCTCTCTCTTTCCTCCCTCCCTCCCTAGATAAAGAGTCATTCCTAACAGTCACAGCAGGTAAAGGCAGATTCTTCCATTCTCAGGTGCCTTCAAATAATGTCTGGACATCCATCTCTCTGGGATACCTAATCTAAACTTCCACCAAGGGCAAGGGATTGAATTGAATAACTTCAGTGGCCCTTGGGTGAGAAAAAAAGAGTGAGTAGAGTTTGCAAGTGAAGCTCTGGGTGGCCTTTTGCCAAGACCAGACCATTCCTTGGCCTTTATTTGGCTTCCACATTCCAGGATCGGAAGGCATTGAGCTGAACTGCGTGTTCACCTCGTCATGCTGACGTCTGTCCCATCATCTGCGGCGCCGACTGGCTTTTCATTAGCCACCATTGTCCTTCACTTTGGTCTTCTGAGCCAGGCTGTTAAGAGGTGGGAATGGATATCGGGGCCTTAGTAAGGCCATACCTGGAAAATGTAATGCACCACATTACACCACCTTACAAAAAAAGATGTTGAGACTTTGGAAAAAGTGCAGAGAAGAGCAACAAAGATGATTAAAGGCCTGGAGGCTAAAATATACGAAGAACGGTGGCAGGAGCTGGGTAGATCTAGCTCAGTGGTTCTCCACCTGTGGGTCGGGACCCCATTTGGGGTCGAACGACCATTTCACGGGGGTCGCCAAACAACGCAGTCCGCCATTTTCCCCCCTTTTCCTTAGCTGTGCTACTCCCTTTTATTCTATTGGCTTTTGAAAGCCAATAGAGTAGACTCTCTTGAATAGAGTCTAATTCTATTGGCTTTCAAAAGCCAATAGGAATGGTCCAGGCTGCCTCTGCCCTGCTGAGCCCGCCAAAAGTCCCCTTCTGCAAACGGGGCTGCACCCGTTGAGTAGTCCTCGACTTGCGACCGGTTGAGTAGTCCTCGACTTACGACCGGTTGGGGGTCGTGGCATTAAAAAGGTTGAGAACCACTGGTCTGGTTTAAAGTAGGAAAAGAAGGACTGGGGGTGGGGTGGGGGGTGGGACATGATAGCAGTTTCCCAATATTTGAGGAGCTGCCCCCAGGAAGAGGGGGTCAGCCTCTTCTCCAAAGCACCAGAAAGCAAGAGAAGAAGCAACGGATGGAAAGTCATCAAGAAGACCAGCCTAGAAATAAGTCGAAATGCTCTGACAATGAGAACAATTCATCAGTGAAACGATTCACCCTAACCTTAACCCTAACCTAGAACTAAGGAGAAATTTCCTGAGAGTCAGAAGAATGAATGGTTTGTCTCCAGAAGCTGTGGATGCTCCATCACTGGAGGTTTTCAAGAAGAGACTTGTCCAGAATGGTCTAGGGCCGGGGTAGGCAACCTTGGCTCTTTTATGACTCGTGGACTTCAACTCCCAGAATTCCTGAGCCAGCCATGCTGAGGGGAAAGGAGAGGTTTCCAAGCTGAGCCATGCTGGCTGAGGAATTCTGGGAGTTGAAGTCCATGAGTCATAAAGCGGCCTAGGCCTAGGCCAGAGGTAGGCAACCTTGGCTCTTTTATGACTGGTGGACTTCAACTCCCAGAATTCCTGAGCCAGCCATGCTGAGGGGAAAGGGAGAGGTTTCCAAGCTGAGCCAGGCTGGCTCAGGAATTCTGGGAGTTGAAGTCCACGCATCATAAAGCGGCCTAGGCCTAGGCTGGAGGTAGGCAACATCGGCTCTTTTATGACTCGTGGACTTCAACTCCCAGAATGCCTGAGCCAGCATGGGGGAACTACGGCCCCCTCATGACTCGTGGACTTCAACTCCCAGAATTCCTGAGCCAGCCAGCTGGCTCAGCTTGGAAACCTCTCCCTTTCCCCTCAGCATGGCTGGCTCAGGAATTCTGGGAGTTGAAGTCCACCAGTCATAAAAGAGCCAAGGTTGCCTACCCCTGGTCTAGGGTCTCTTGCTTGAGCAGGGGGTTGGACTAGAGGAACAACCTGCCTCCAGATGGAAAATACAAAGCTATTTTTTTCCCAACTCTCCATCCCTCCTTCCCCCCCCCATGACCAGTCCCCCCCCCCCCGGCCAGCCAATGTGATGGCGCTATGAGGTTGTGAGAAACTGTTGCGGTGTGAAACTAGTAATGTTCCATTTTCAGGGCAAACGGCCTCGAAGATCCTGGTACAAGCTGGTTTGCTGATCTGCTCTTCACGGCTTTGTATATATTCCCCAACTGCTCCCGAGACCCTTCGGGTTATTTCTATATTATTTTCAGGGTCTGGTCCTTTCATTTGTTCCCGTTCCGCTCAGCCCCAGTTCACTGCAAAATGGCTCCTTAAGTGCCTCTGGTTTTCTTATTGTTATTTTGTCCATATTTTTTATTACACGACAAGATTTCTTTTTTAACCATGAAGGAAAAAGGAAGAAAAAAAAATGAGGGTGCTTCGGAAAACGGATGCCCTCAGCAGTTGAGCTAAAAAAAGGAACACCACAAGGAGATCACAGGTAGACATCGACCCTCCCCTGCTCTAAAGCCTCTTCCTGTTTTCCCCAGAAAAACAACCCTGCATGGTAG